TAGAGTGGTGGGAACAACTGACAACCTCCTTATCAAAAGGGTGCCATTTATTTACAGTATTTTGTTCATGGTCGGGGGGGGGGGCAGAGAATCAAGAAGGAATGAACCCATTAAGAGCGTGGGGAAGAATTTTGGAGGTCGGGCGCAATTTAATCCCAATAAATACATTTTTAAAAATAATTTTCTTTTAAGCCACTTTGTTCAGGCTCTTCTGGGGCTTGCCGTAAAAATTGGGCTCTGAACAGTCCATTTCCGCCTACAAAGCATTAAAAGGAAAATTTTGAGAGTGCAAGGTTATTGGACTCTCCAATGCCTTCCACGGGTCCACTTGGGGATGATATTGGCTGCCACGCTGCCCATTGGCTGCCACGCTGCCCATTGGCTGCCACGCTGCCCATTGGCTGCCAAGAGGAGGAGAAGGAAGTTGGTTGAGTCCGGGCAGCCTCTTTGGTATCGGGCGCGAGTGCGACAAGTAATTTAAAAGTCCTTTAATATTTTCTGGGTTTTGCATCGATGAATTTGGTGGGAAATGTTGGCGTTTTAATCCGATAATTGGCGATTGGCGATTGGCGATAGGCACGCACTGCGGAGAGACGCGATGGGATTGAAATGAACAAAATTTTAATGAGAAAGTAAGAGTACCTCCGGAAATGCACGAATATCAATATTGAATGAATAAATATTAATATAAATATGCATGCACGGTGAGAATGAAATTAACTGGAAGAAGGTAAGTTGTAGCAAAAACCGTAGCAAAAACCGTTGCTCGAGAAACCTCCTGGCGCCTTCCTCACCGATGATGAAGTCGTAGGAGTCGTCGACCCGCTTGTCCATGTTGGACAGCCCGATCGGGTTGTCCAGCTCGTCGAGGAGCATGATCTTCTTCGTGAAGAGGAGGCCTATCGTCCAGAGGAGGGTCTTGAGCAGGGCCATGCCGGTCGGCTGGCATCAGTCGGGTCCGCTTGGGGTCCTGTGGGCGGGAAGGGAGTTTTAGCGGCCTCCAAGGTGAAACCAGGAATAAGGCTCCAAATGTATGGGCATCAGGGTACTCATTAATGGGTAATCATTTGTACTCATTTGCCGCGAAGGAATGTGGAGGCCTTTCGTTCCCACGGCAGTCTCTTTCATTGCGAAATTACCGGCCCAATCAGACCAAATATTAACATTACCGCTACATTCAATAGAATGTATCGCATTCTCGAGTTCCTGTAATTAAAAAAATTATAAGGATCATAATTAGTCATGATATACAGGCCACACATTTGGACATCCGAGCGACTGCTCAAGAAGCCACTTGTCTTCATGAGAAAGGCCGGTTCGCCACTAGGCATCGCCTTTCTTAGCGCAAAGAAAAAGGGAGCGAGGCGAAACCATGAATGGGAGCGTTCCTTCACGATCGCTCCGAGACCGCATTGAATAGCGCTCACAGGGACCGGTTTGAATCCGTTCGCAGCGTATCTCTTGAAATAACGCAGCGTTTTTTTTTTCTTGCCCGTCGGATCAGGTCAAGGTGAGGACGCCGTTCTCGTGACATTTCAGCGCAGGTCCCAGCCGAACTGAGATGGCAGAAAATTGAACTGGAATTCCGAGTTAATGGGATTTTGCTTTTTCCGAACTTTTCGCTGAGATTGTGTGATGGATATTCTACGATTTCCATCTTTGGTTTCAGTGAATGGCTGGAAATCCGCTATTAATTGAGCAATCCTTTGATACGCCGAACCCCCAAAAATTAGACTGTTTGCCAATGGTTCTAACAGATGGAAAATAATTGCTGTGACTAATCCGGTTTATCTATCTATGGTTTATCTATGAGGACAATTGTGGTCGTTATGGACACGGCTGTCTCATTACTGAGTATTCTCATGCTGGCTATTCACAATGCTCTTGTATCGAAGCAAAGAAACCAGACTCTCGGAGTGTTACTTGTCTTCTTCCTTGGCATTTTTCGACTAAACACAAAAGATGGCGCAGGAAGAGTCTTATTGTCTTCTCAAGGAATATTTCCCTTCATCCTGCATAGTTTAAGGTCTCTTATTGATCGAAGCCTGCATTTCATATGGTGAAAAATGTGGAAAAGGGCCATTTCACCGCGACGGTCGCATATAGATTTCATGGTTGCCGTCACAACCTTTATTGTATGAATCCCGATTACTAGATTCTATCTCGAAAATAATATGGCATCGGAGAGATTCGAACCCTGCTATAGAATAAATGGACTCCAGGAAAACTTCCTAGAATACGCGTTATGCAGAACCGTCTGGTTCTTTTCTTCCTCTCTGAAGTGGGAGGAGGGACGACAGGAAGCGTGATTGCAAGTCGGTTGACGGAGAACCCTCGCGTGAAGGTCCTGGTACTCGAGGCTGGGTCGGATGGAACCGTGCTCTCGTTGATCCCTGCAGCCGCCACCTTGATGTGGTGGTACACCAATTTCGACTACCGCTACACCAGCGAACCTCAGGGAGACTCCTGCCTCGCTCTCAAGGGAGGGGTGAGTCCACCCACTTGCGTCCTCAACTCTGTGTAAAGTGATACGATGCGAAATGAACGCGCATCTCTCTTTAAACATTTCTCATTAAATTTGTTCATTGATATGCCTTACCGCATTATTCACTATTATAGTGACTGGAAGTAGATATGGAAGCATTGTTGTTATCTTATACATAAACGGAGCAAATGCAAATATTGTCTGATTATGATGACGACGTTTTGAATGTACAAATGATGCCATGATATTCCTCTCGAACTTGAAATACGGTAAAACTCTGGATAATCTGGATATTCTGTATGATGAAGGGTGACTCTTGGGGAGTAAATAATGGCTAAGGTGAATGCATTTTATCTTACAGGGAGTTTATCAGAGGGCTTCCATTCAAAGAGGTAAAAGAACATGTATCTGATGAATTACAAGTCAAACACAGGTCATGAGAAGGGGGTCTCCGACACGACGACAATCGGCATGCCCTTGTAACTACGGAGTCACACGGTCAGCCCCGTTCCGTAGACGCGTGAAATGTGATTCGTTACGATAACAAAGCTTCATGGATTGACATGGTTGATTTTTCCCATACCAGTAACCCTAGTATGTGAAAACACGAAGCACAGAACTTGTTCAGATGGAAAGCAAATTCTAATTACTTTTCCTTTTGCATGATTTATTTTATATTCGGCGAGCGTTTGCATCCTATCACGAGCGAGAGCTCCAGATAAAGCGGAGTTAATGGCTGCCCGTATTACGACACGAGAGGTGGTGAAAGTCATTTCTCTCCGCGCGTGTGGCGACAACCGGATATGGTTGTCCCTCCTTCGACTCATCCGTAATGAAAGTGGAACCAGAATCGGAGCAACTTTCAGCTTTTTAAGCTCATCTTCGTCGCCTCTCATCAGCGGAATTAGTCGGTTTCCAGTCCGGAACAACCCACGCGACCTGGAGCATTCCCGTTCAGAATTCGGTCCTTGCTTTTTCCTTCGCGGGAAATTGTGGGTGCATCCTAATGCTTCTTAAGGGGAGACTATGAACGAAAAATCGCAATATGCATATACGCATATTGCATGCAATGACTATTTCCCAAATTACTCCTACAATATTGGCGTCAGAAACTTGAAATTTAGCATTGGCACTCAGACATGAGAAATCTGGAATGTGTCGGGACCAGTTTTGATCAATTTACAATTTTTATGGCCGAAGTAGCTAAGAGCCAACTGCCATCAAATTTTCGAATAACATAAGATATACAGTTCATTTTTTCATGGAAAATCTAGGGAAATTACTTTTTGTTCCCAATAATCTGTAGTTGTATGTTCTATCATGAAGATATATGAATTTGAATACATTTGTTTAATTTTTTTAGCTGTGGCTTGGGAAATACCAGATATATTAATGCATTAGTTTTTTTGTATTTCAGAAACCTCTGGAGCTTGTTGTAAAAATTATGTTGCAAAATGATCTTTGTAATACAAGCTTTTCAATGGTACCAATAAAGATTTACTTTCTGCAAATCATCTCCATTTTAAATTTGTTTGCGCATAGTCTCCCCTTAATATGAGAGTAACGGATGCAGTTGCTCTTTCCTGCGACGTGGTTGGTCAGCATAATGAAGCCACGAAGTATGCAAATGCGGGTATGACCTTGAGTGCTCGATGGTCGGTCAAGAAAGGGTGGTTTATAAAAACATTTCTCTAGCGAAAAAATTCCCCATTGGCCAACAAGCCCTGCCACCTCACTCCGTTATTTAAACGAAATTGGTCAAATGAAGTGGGATGAGGCCGAAATATCCAACACTTCAGTGGCATTGGAGTGTGTCATGAAATCAGTTTTCCTCCAATATTATGAGATTATTTGAATTTCAGCATAATGACGGCATTTCGTAACTCACTCAGAAGAAAATTTCCCCTACATTGCGGAAGGGGAATGCATGGGATGGAAAATGAATGTGGAGGATCAGGCACTGAAAAGTTCAAGGGGGAAGCGACTAGAAGCAGAATGGAATTGGAATGGAGCCGTCGGGGCTGTAGTACAAAAAGTGACGTCAAATGCCCTGGGACGAAAACCGCCGTTATTCAATTGCCCTGGGACGAGAACCGCCGTTATTCGGGGCTTCGCATTCGGACCAATCTAATCTACTATAAACTGGGATGAGAATAATAGGAAACGTGACCTTATGATTATAGAGGCTCTGTCTGGCTCTCCTTCGGAGGATCTTGACTCGGGTGTGATGAAAGGTCTGACAAGCTATTTCAAACAGGGAAAAAAATTAGTTGAGTAAAGGATGAAATCACAATGGGGTTCTAACCCCATTTGGAAGGTGAATGTCTCAAAAGGAACCGATAGAGGGAGTCCCCACCCACCCCACGCACGTTGGGCCAACGTTGGACCAACGTTGGACCAATGTTGGACCAACGTTGGGCCAACGTTGGACCAACGTTGGGCCAACGTTGGACCAACGTTGGAATTCCACATTGTTGATATGGGCTCAATGTTTCTCCCTCGTAGGCTTGTCCCACGGCCCCACGTTGGCCCAACGTCAGATACCGACGTGCGGCATGCCGCTCAGGCGATTAAAAGAGGTTTCGATTGAGAATCTAAGTTTGCACATAATTGTTCAGCTGCCCTACCGGGGACCCTGCCCAGGTACGGGATCAGAGACAAATTCCGTTAGAAGAAACACAATCAGCCCCCAAATGAATGAAATTTAAATGGAAGTCGAGTTCGACGTGGTCTTCATGAGCAGGAGCTCTTGCCCATTCTCAATGACTTCTCAATAATCGCTGATAATATCGATTCGGCTCAACAAATTCGAACAAAAACTTCTGAATCAGTTGGAAACAAACTCAAACACGCAGCGTAAAACGATTCGCGAAAAAAAAGCTCCAGTGCAAGCGGGTTCTTTAGACCAATAGTCGATTAGTCCCTTTTTTGATAGGCCTGCAACTCGAGTAGCACCCTTTAGAGAAATACTAAGTTATTTTAAAGGCCTCTCATCAGGAAGAAAAGCTTATTTATTGCATAGGCTCCATGAATCTGCTTGGAAATATTGTAGAGAAAAAAATAATGATGAGCCTTTTCATTGATTCCTTCAATGTAAAATTGCGATACATATGGCAAGGTGCTAAGCGTTTCTAGAGAAGAACGATTCGAGGTAAATAGGGACAAACATTTTTGTGCTTGCGGGAAAACAGGACCCACACCTCCATCTAGCGGCCAAGAACAGAACTTCACCATTTCACACAATCCTCCAAAGAGTAGCTTGGGCACATTGGATCACCGCATCAGTCTGATAATGAGAATAAGGGCAAGCGAAAGCACTCGGCCTGACAGCAATTTCAGTTGACCCAAACGAATTTAAGTAAGTAAATAACACAGAATAGGAAAAAAAAAACCAGTTTGTATAACTTAGAAAATTATGTTCATTTGGTTCGATTCTTCATTGCATTGCAGCGCTTTTACAGGGAATCTAATTTTTAACAAAGTTAAATACTCTCTTATGAAGTAGACTATTTAATTTGTCGGTGAAAAAGATTACGGAACATACAGGTACTTACTTCGATCTGTCATCGGTCGCTTCCTGTATTACAAGCCGCGGCTTCCTCCTATTATTTACCATTTAACTAAAACGTGTTATTTCTTTCGAGTATCCCCGCGGAATGGCACCAACGACCATCGCTCCGACTTTCCCTCACGTTCCCGTTCTCTGCACGCACAGCGATGCCGCATGCACCGCGCCCGGATGCTGGGCGGGAGTTCCTGCATGAACGCCGGCATCTACAACCGGGGGAACCACAAGGACTACGACAACTGGGCCGACTTGGGGAACACCGGCTGGTCCTTCGACGACCTCCTCCCGCTCTTCCTCAGGGCTGAGAACTTCCTCGTGCATAATATCACTTCGAGTAAGCATGTGATTGGGACCAGTTATTATTTATGAGATATGATCAAATTATGATCAAATTCTACTAGAGATTTCATAAACTTAGCATTAGGGCAAAAAAATCACTGAGGCGATAACCCGAATTAAACCAATTAGAAAGCAGAATAAAATATCCTCACAATTGTTATAAATGTTCCTAATTTATAGGAAATGTTTCAATTTTAAATATGACTGATATTTCACAAATGTCAATCCCATTAGTCTCTGAGTGTGGCTCGTTCTATCTGTGTCAATATTTGTGTGAATTGATCACGCGCCTGCACAAACCAGCATGATCATGCTCGCATGCATTCTGCCTTAAGAAAACGGGGCAATTTAGGGCAACGACAATAAATATCGCTCACTGACCTGGGCTCGCTGTATACTGCAGCTGGCATAAAAACGACTATCATTCCGCAAACAGGGGAACGACATGGCTTCCTCGAGTGACTCTGTTATTTTCCTTCATCGCAGGAGATGCAACCTATCACAGGAGTGGCGAGCAACATGGATATTTCCCGGTGTCGCACACCTACAATTCTGAGCTCCTACCGGCATTCATCGAGGCGGGGAGAAGTTTGGGCTTCCCGTACAACCCCGACCACAACGGCGCCACCCAGAACGGTGAGTCTCGTCCGCATGAACGTACGAAGGCATGCACGCGGAATGCACGCGGAATGCTCACGACAGCACTGCTGGGCAGGTTTCGGGAAAGTGCAAGTGGCGGCCCAGGGAGGTGTCCGGCACAGCACGGCCAGGGCGTATCTGACGCCTGTGAGGCGTCGCAAGAACCTCCACGTCGTCCTCAATACCCCAGTCTCTAAAGTAAGTTTTCTCCCATCGATGAAAGAAGCTTTTATTTTCGGCAAATGCCAAAATCTTCGTTGCTTCCCATTGGCACTTCCAGCCTCACTTTGCAGGCATGAGGGCATGAGTGACCTTTTCCAGACTTGTGTTCTTTCTGGTCAGAAAGAACCATCATCGATATGAACCAATTGCCTTATTTTGTATCCGGGCGCATTTGAATCGCTATTTTCGTCAGAAACTTCATGAATTTTTAAATTATTATTGAATATTAGATCCTGTGAAATTGCCAAAAATTTTATTTAAAAAATTATTAGACTCCCGGCATATGCAAAATGGATCGACTGAAAATAAAATTTCACGAATTTATGATGAGCTGCCGAGAAATTCGAATGCTTAATTTGTTTTGATTCCGTAGGGCCAGCTGTACTTAAAGATTATTTTAAAATTGAAAATATTTTTTGCAAACCATTAATTTACTTCCGTGCAAAAGAGGCTGTCATTTATTGAGCAATTCCTGTCCTGCGCTCTGGAAGAAAATTTGAACTTGCAATATCGAAAAGGCACCATTTTTAATTAGGTTTAAAGGACAAACCTGAAGCCTCACGCTAAACGTCCAGAGCGAATCGAAAGCACGTCCTATCCCATTTTTATTTTTGTATTTTTTTTTAATCGGAAAGTTCGGCAGCGTGGCAGATGTATGCTCGATTTGTATATTGAACCCTAGATTGGGAACCACTGAGGCTGTTTTACCTTCCCATGAAATCCCCTTGATACGTTAGAGAATAACATATGGCGAGAGGCAATTCCTTTGTTGCTTCACCTGGCGCCTTTCTCTGCGAGTTCCAGTCCCGCCAATGCAGATGATTTAAATTTTTAAATGACCGGGTTTAAATGACCGAGTGCAAGTAGTTCCGCTGGCGTCATGGAAAGAATGTTTCCCTGAAGATTCCGTCTCTTCCAGTCATCAAGGAGCACGGACGGTTCAACGAATTATACCACGTTCCGCCTTCCCACCAGGTCGTGATAGACGAGAAGACGATGACGGCGAAGGGGGTCGAGTACCTGACCGAGGACGGTACCACGCGCTTCGTATCGGCTGGGAAGGAGGTGATCATGTCGGCTGGGGCCTTTGCCACTCCTCAGATCCTCATGCTCTCCGGGATCGGGCCCGAAGAGGAACTTCAAAAACATGGGGTGTGTCTCAAAATATGATCCTCTCCAAATTCCATTATCGTTCGCCACACGTCGCATTTTACTGTGTATTTTACTGTGTATTTTAGTACTTATTTTATTATGTATTTTACTCTGTATCAGTCTTGATTGATGACGACTAACAGCCTCAAACCTACTTTCAAAAGATTGCGCATTCTTCTTATTAAAATTGCACACGAGGTAAATTCTGTATCATGTGGCGAATATGGGAACCTAATCGCCACAAGTTTGGCCAGCATCGAATCCTATTGGACACCACTGATCTAGGAAATGCTTACACCACACCAGGACTACCTTCTGAAGTGCAATATGGTTCTTTCCCATCATTCATAGAAGAAAGCGAGCAGAAAGGATGGAATGCTTCCTCTCGAGTCTCACTTCACGTACTATATAGCATACATCGACAGTAAGTACAGCACGGTGTACTTTCCCCTGTTTCCAGATCCGTACCGTAGTGAACCTTCCAGTGGGAGAGAACATGCAGAGCCACGCGGGTCCCGGCGGACTCTACTTCAGCATCGAGAAGGAAGTCGGCTTCTTCCTCCCGCGACTATTCACTTCGGAGTTCCTTACGCGGACCATCCAGTTCCTCGCCAGGGGCGACGGTATTTGTCGTTTCTATGCGTATCCGCTTGCCTCTTGCGGTGTGCTCTTCGATGCGATGTCGGGCCTCGAAAGCTTGATTTTACACATCTTCACAAATTTTTACAAACTTCAATTTTTATTTTTTTTTTTATATTAAAAAAAAATCAATTTCACACATTTTTTTTTTACAATTTTCACAAATTTATGCCACTCACCCATTAACCAATTCGTCCATCAATTTCCCCATGAAATTCTAATTGTTCCAGGACCGTTCACGACCGCATCCGGTTTCGAGGGCATCGCCTTCGTCAACACCTCCTACGAGCGCGACCCCGACTGGCCCGACATCGAGCTCTTCTTCGGGACGCTCACGATCGGCACCGACGAAGGACTCATCTACCGACGGAGACTTGGGCTCACGGAAGAGGTCTGTCCTTTTTTTTTCCGTTCCGAACGAGAATAAGTATTTCACATCGTGCCATCGTCTTCGTCTTCCCCCCAAGGCCTGGAAAACATACAGCGGATTGCTTCGTAAACCAGGTTTCGAGATTTTCCCGTACGTCATGAGGCCCAAAAGCCGCGGGAAGGTTTTGCTCCGCAGCACCAACGTCCTCGACCGTCCGAAAATCTTCGGGAATTTCTTCGATCATCCCGACGATGTCCGGCGATCGATCGAAGGTACGCCCACGCGATTCTCGAGTCAGCTCGCTTGAACACCATCAGATTAAACAAAAATCTCTCCGTGATCGCTAGCCATTCGTTTGGTGCTGAAATTGGGAGACCAACCGTCATTCAAAAAACTTGGTGCCAAATTCTACAGTCGGCCCCTCCCAGGCTGCAGGCATCTGAAACAGTTCACGGACAGATACTGGGAATGTCACATGCGTCACTTCACGTTCCTCATCTGGCATGATGTCGGCACGTGCAAAATGGGGCCTCCTAGCGACCGCAAGGCTGTCGTGGACCCTAAACTCAGGTATGAAACCTAAATCTCCTCGACTACCCAAGACACCACCCATCGTACTAAATTCTTCAATTTTGCAGGGTTTACGGAGTTCAAAGGTTACGGGTCGCGGATGCATCCATCATGCCGGTGATCACCACGGGGCACCCGATGGGAACCTGCATCGTCATCGGGGAGAAGGCCTCCGATATCATTAAGTCCCACTATGATCTGTGATTTGCATGCAAGGATGAACTTTTCGTCTCAGACGTTTCCAGAGGCCATAGGATTAACGAATTTTTCGTTAATGTTATTATATATGTCCGGCATTAATATATTCATCAATACAAATTCTCTACGTCGTCGTGCTTTCATCATTTCGAGAATCAATTAGCGAAATCATTCAAATCAATTAATTTCTGATCCCCATCCACTTGCCTCCACTTCCCCGCGGCGTCAGGCAGCAATGCAAAGCGTCAGGCGGGCTCAGGGTCTCGGCTGATTATTGCTGATTATTGCTGATGATTGCTGATGATGATGTTGGAAGGTTCTGCATGGAATCTGGGATCTTGGAATCTTGATCTCATCCGGTGTTCGGATGGGATGACGCCACGCAATTTTTTCAGTGAACTTTTTTTCGCATCCTGCGATCGGAATATATTTCGAATGAGAGAACGGAAGCCGAGATTTTCAGGAAGGAAATTTCAGGCTATTCCAGGAAATGAAAATTTTTTCGTGTGAAAACCGGTTTCGCCGCTTCCTCTTGGAGCGACGCACCCGGGATGACGTCATCGAGGAAGTCGTGAAACCGGAGTGAAACCGGAGTCGAGTGACATCAGAAACAGACCCGGCAGTCGGTTATGGGACGAAGGGAGTCAAGGTCACCTTCGGGAGTCAAGGCGTCCATTGCTTGGCTGATTGGCGCTCAAGGCATTCCATCAGGGCTTCACTCCTCGGAACCTGTCACGAACCTGTCACGAACCTGTCACGAACCTGTCACGAACCTGTCACGAACCTGTCACGAACCTGTCACGAACCTGTCACGAACCTGTCACGAACCTGTCACGAACCTGTCACGAACCTGTCACGAACCTGTCACGAACCTGTCACGAACCTGTCACGAACCTGTCGCGATCGCAGCCTTTTGCCTGCGAGGAAAAAGTATCAGCGTGACGATTTTCGATAAGTTATTAGAAGGAAAATATGGGGTGGGTAGCAAACCCAAGATGGCAAGAGTAAAAATTTCTCCGTACCAAGGTGGATGCATTAAAAAAATTGATACAATGTTGAATGTGCCTAGAACTTCACTTACTGGGCTATTCCCGTTCGTAAAAAAAAAATCCTATAGGATTCGATAGTCCCTCGAAGAGGGAAAACCCGAATTAAAACCTTTCCACGTTTTTCGAATCCCTTGACGTGAAATGCTATTGAGCGAGGTTGAGAAAATGGGGAAGAGGAATTTTCGTTCCGCCCATTGCGGCTAATGAAGTTCAAAAATATTTTTTTTTCTTTTCAATGCAAGAAAAATCGATGGATTCGGAGGAATTCCGCGCGCTAGGGAGATCACCAGGGAAGTCACCAGGGAGGTCACCAGGGAGGTCACCGCCGACTCTCGGCACAGTTTCCATATTAATTTTTAAATTAACCAGAGTTCATCGTTGCCCTTTTTCTCCTGCAGCAGCTTAAAATAATTCCCTGTTGGCTATTTTCATTTCGTTTCACAGCGACACGTTTTTACCAGTTTTTTTTCCCAATTTAAAAAAAAAGCAATTACCAAAGCCTCCCGACATTTTCTTGCATTTATATTTTATTACCTTCATTTTTTTATTTCCAGTACGTTGATATCCGACTTTCCAAACACCGAGCCGGTTTATAAGCCGGAAAAAAATTGAATTTCTGGCGTGACATCATGGGAAAAACCGTCTTTCTTACGAAAGCCATCTGTTCCTGACTAAGCCACGAATTTCGTTCCGTTCTTGGATTAGCCAGGGCGATCGAGACGACTCGGAATACGATAAATACCATGCCAATTCCGATATGTTACCGAAAAAATGATCAATTAACCATTATCCGGGTTGCAGGAGTCCATTAACATTACATTACTCTCCGGCAATTTTTTTAAATATTCCAAAATTTTAATTTGTCTTTCATCGACTTTTATTCATAGATCCAATTTTTTTTTCAGATTTGATTTTAACTCATGGAAAAAACTCGCAACTTATTTTTTTTTCCCTTTATCCAGATTAGGGTTAAGAGAGGAACGTGCAAATTTGCCGACCGCGTCATTTTGCCAATGTTCTGCGACCCCAATGCAAATTAGAGAATTAGCGAATAGAGCTCCTCCATCGGGAGATTCACGCAATCAGAGGCTGCTGATTGTCTTAGATCAGCGATCCAAGTTGCTAAAAAATTATTTGCGACGATAGGGCAATTAAGGTTACTGTTGGGCAATTAAGTGACTGGATCGCTTGCACCTGCGATTCTAGAAACTCATCGTGACGAAAGGAAAAAGCAGGATTGCCCTTTATTAGATCAATTTCCTCGCTGCCGACATGGAGATTTTTACTGTTACGGGCAAAAAAAAATTAATGAAGGCCCAAGCTATAAAAAAATTACGCAATAATAAGAAAAAAAATATTTTAAATTTATTTTAAATGCGGCGGAAACTAGCTGGCTTTCACCGGCGGGGAAACTAATTATAGAGGTCCATGAGGAAACCGACTGGATGACCTGTTCTGACCTGACCTGAGGTCAGCTTCCGGCGATGGAGTCGGACTGATTCATCCCATCGATCGAGATGCATCAGCCATGGCCTCGCCGCGAGCCCTTGGCTCTCGCAGGCGCGAGACCCGCCGATGACTAAGGAGAGAAGCGACCCAGATTAACATCGAAAGCGAAAGGCGGGGAGGTCAGCGTGATTCTGCCGATTGCGTTTCTCCGTGCCTCGTGTCGACCGCAATCGACGTTCGATTGCGTACCCTTACGAAAATGCCTTATCGGATTCCTATAAGAACATATAGGAATCCATTAGTTTCCTTATATAAGGCCTATAGGGGACCCTACTGGCCCCACAGGGTTCCGTTTGGGACCTATATGGTTCCCTGTAGAACCTATATGGTTCCCTATAGGACCAATAGGATCTATAGGGTTCCTTATAGAGCCTATACGGAACCCTTTAGGGCCTATAGGGTTCCGTTTGAAGTTCTCTTCTAGGGCACTAGATGGATGTGTGTGGTTCTCGTATTTCTCAAAGTACACAAAAGTGCCCTCCCCTTACCCAAGGAATCATCTCTCATAGGAGAGTTTTGTACATCCCCATATGTCTCGTTCTACTCCTCGTGCCTCTGAGCCCACACAGCTCATCTCCTCGTGCCTCTGAGCACGAGGATCAAATTACGAACGAAGTCGCCGAAAACATCAGACACTAATTTTTAGCTCTAAATTTTAGATTTAATTTTTGATTTAACTTTGTTTGCATACAGCTGACTGAGCACATTCCGAGTATTATTTAGAAAATCGCAACGATACATGAGAAGTTCAGAACCGCAATAACTTCCGTCTGCAATGCCGGAACACATCCGAGGACCCGCGAGCAGTTTTTCCGGGTCCTTGAAAAGGTCCGAAAAGGATTGCCTTTCCAAATCGGATTGAGGTCACCTTGCCGTCATCCCCCGCGAGGAGAGGGCCGGGCCTGGGGGAAGCGGGAGGGCGGACCCGAGGCAGTTCGTGCCTCCTCCCTCCAGGCGATGGACGCCGTCGCCGAGCTTCGGTGAGTCTTCTGGTTCTTCTGCTTCGTGTGCAATGCCATTGGCCGATTGGCCGAGGAACAGCCATTAGATGAAATTTGTTGGATGCATCTTGCTTAACGACCCCGAAATTAATGAGTCGATGCACAGTGCAAACTTAACTAGAATAAGTGACCAAGTCCATTTTGATCCAACACTAAGTTTCCGGAAACTTCCAAAAGAGAAATTTGTTGTGGCTTCATTATGTGACCAAAGGTTTTTTTTGGAATACGAGGGTTCCCAAAAAAAAATCGGTATCAAAATTATTTACTAGAGGGCCTGGTAAGTTTAATCTAATTTCAAGTTTGAAACGGTATGGTATGACACATCGGGTCAATTTCCTTTCAAATTTGCAAAAACCTTATTCCTTCTTTCTGCATATAGTGTGCGAAATATTGGACCGATTAGATAAAATCTGTTATCATTCCCATTTTATTAAATGGGAATGATAACAGATTTGCACATGCTTCTGCCGCCCTCATTCAAAATCCAAATCGCAGAGGGTAAAACCAATCGATCAGGCCAATGCCAATACCAACGGCGTGCCATTGGTATTGGTATTGTTAATCATTAAAATCCCTGGCAGGACCCCCAAAACCATGCTCTAAATGGGTACCGGAACAACTCACGCGTGAGCCTTCCCTCATAACTAGACTCACGCGTGATCCCAAAATTCTGCTTCGTTGTGCCACTGCGAGCGCTGGAAGAGTTCCAGTCACTCTTTCCAGGGATTTCACGATTCGCTCTTTCAAGGTCGAGAGATGACCTTTTTTTTTTTACCAAATCCATAAGGTCGCAATAGAATCTGAAGACGTCCGAGAGAAATTTTTATTAGTGTGATTAATATTCTTTACTATATTTTTCCTTTTTTCCTCATCGTAGAATCACGTGAAAATCACGGACACGGGGTTTCTTAAAACGTTCAAGCAACGGTCAAGCAAAAGTCAAGATTCAATTTTTTTCATATTTATTTATTTTATATTTATATTTATTTTTTTTTTCAGCAGCCACTTAGCTCCCGGGAGCCGGCGACCCTGACCGCCATGGCGTGGCTCGCGAACTTCGTCTGGGCGATCGGCTTCATCTGCGCCAACCGAGTCCTGTTCCTCGACGAGGTCGACAATCCCACGGGATTCTCCAACTTCGGGCGACAGGTCGACGACTCCTACGACTTCATTATCGGTCGGAAAACCACTCGAGTGGATGCAATTCTTTAATTAAATGTTGAAAATTTTGCAAATTATTATATAAATTATTTAAATTTGATTAATTTAAATAATGTGATGTAATAATTATGACTCGACCATCCACCAAGGCATCCAAGCGATTGCATAAGAACTTGGATAAGATTGGGGGAACGGCGCGGCGAAAAGAGACATCCACTATGGGAGGACATTTAAATTCGACAATTTATATTATACGAAGAAATCGGGAAGAGTGCGAAGCCTTACTCGGAAATCGCCTTGAGGAATTCTCCTTCCGACCGGTTTGGTCACGCCGACGTGAGTGAACGCGTTGGGACGTTCTCGGTGATGAAGCCGTTCGGTCACGGTCGTGCTGATGGACTTGCTGGTCCCTTGTCCAGACCGGAAGCTTGGCGGTTATTTTATGATGGGGATGATCGAAGGCTTTTTCACTGGGATTCTTGTCCTAAGCAAGATGACACCAAACGCGGCCGATCCCGTTTGCCTGTGGTCGCTGCAGATGCGACGGGATTCTCGCACCCTCAACCTTAAAAATAAACTTTGATGATTCTAAAACAATTATGGCTCTTGGATTGACTGTCAGCAAAAATTTCAGTGAAAAATTATCGGTGTGGCCCGCAGACATCTGCAGGATAAGGATTGCGGCCCGCCCGATTGATTTCAGTTTGACACCCGTGCTATATTACAATTAATTACTTCTATATTTAAGAAGCTGCTATTTAAATCCATGTTGATGAACATTCGCTCCTGTTCTTACATACACCCTCTGAAGTGGGAGGAGGGACGACAGGAAGCGTGATTGCAAGTCGGTTGACGGAGAACCCTCGCGTGAAGGTCCTGTTACTCGAGGCTGGGACGGATGGAACCCTGCTCTCGTGGATCCCTGCTGCTGCAATTTTGATGTGGTGGTACACCAAGTTCGACTACCGCTACACCAGCGAACCTCAGGGGGATTCCTGCCTCGCTTTCGAAGGAGGGGTGAGTCATGTTTCACCTCGCCTGCTTGCTCGGGTGACGTTCACTTGTGACGTGACGTGAACTTATTTCAATATTTATGAATGAACATATTTTGAGATGCACGACTGAAGTATCAACTTTACTGGAGACGGTTACTGAATGCATAAAAAAATAGCATAGTCGGCATTTCGCAGATCATGGCCAAGACAGCACAGCCTACTGTACTGCCTTTGCACATTGCCGTTCAGATGTTTCTCCATGGTTCGTTTACGGATAACTCCTTGGAAATGTCTAGAAAATGAACCCCGCGGTTCCTTCCGGACAGTTGAATGAATATGTGAACTATAGGAGTCACTGGATGTGGCGATGAAGAAATATACTTAAGGCGAAATTTCAATGTACATATGGGTTTGTCTTCTCGTCCTTCATCAACAGCAAATAAAGTTTTCTGGGCAGACGTTTTGGGAAAAGGAGTGGCAACTGGGAGCTGCGCGAAGGGCTTGGGCGAGGGGGGGGGGTTTGTGTGGGGGGGGGGGGGGTTGTGGGGGGGGGGGGGGGGGGGGGGCTGAAGCCGCCCCTACACTTTTTGAAGAGTGAACAATTTCCCTGAAAGGGAGAGAAACTGAAGTTAGCGATTTTATTCCCTAAAAATTAGGAAGTTCAATCGATAACTACTCTTATTCGATATCTCTTATCGAGAACTACTCTTATTTGAGCAGAATCCATAACTTTTTCAAGAAACGAAGAAGGGAGAGTACTTTTAAAATTGGTAGAAAAAGTTTGTGATTATTCTCAAGGAAGAGAGAGGTGAGCGACATTACGTCCTCGTTTTTAGGGAGTAAAATCGCTAACTCCAGTTTTGCTCCCTTGAAGGGAAATTGCTCACTGGTACGCTACGCCTATACCGTATAGGGGTGAGCGTTGGAAATGTCGGCACTTTAAGCTAAATTTTCACTTCCACCTGGTCTGGTGGTTTCTGTAATGGAGCTTCCTCGTTCACGTTGGGTCGGGTCATACTTCTATTATATGCCTCGTTGTACCGTACACCTCGAGTGCCCTGGGCCTTTCCTTCCCGAGGGCCTGGGTCAAAGGTGAAGTTGAGTCAGATGGGAATCTCGGCACACTTGCCGGCATAGTCGCCACCGCCCAGTCGGGAATCTCGGCAACCCTAAGTATCACTGTAGTTTACAATGAACTCCTAAATGAATGAAACGAAATAATAAAACAAGACCTAGTAGGGAAGAGAAGAACGGGAATGTGTAAAGCTTAGGAAAATTACAAGATATCGCAGGATTTTCGGAGTGCGATTAGAGAGGGCAGCCACTGCGAGAAACTACAGCAGCTAATTGGGCTGTTCTTAGCACTTATCAACAACAATAGTTCCACCATCTGAGAATGGATTTCTCCTCGTACCTAGGGGATAGGTAGTGGGAGCAGAAGGTTGACGATCGCAAAGTGCCGATATTACCCCCAGTACCGACATTCGCAGCACTCACTCCTATGGCAGAGGTGTCAAACTGCACGACTCGCTGACCAAATCCAGCCATCCAGAACGACAAATTAAACCTGTTGGCATTAAAAATGTGGTGCATTATTTGTTAGAGTGACTTCCAAAACCCCCTGAAGGATTCCATCGGACCCCTGCTTAATCGAGTTTGACACCTAGTGTGTGTAGTCTTATGTACAAGTTACAGTGCAAGAAGGAATTGAAAATTTGTATAAAAGTATCACTTGAATCAAAAACACAAAATGTTATTTATGGACAAAAAATTTTACCTTTGAACTTAGCATGAACCCCGAAAAATTAAAATTTCAAAAAAATACCATGAAAAGGTCAATGACTCTGCTACTGATATGAAAAATTACAGAGAAGTAATATTATTTATATTCCGTCAATAAATTTTTGAATCAGAAAATCTCTACCACATATGAGGCATTCCGGCTCAAGTAATCGAAGTCGTGGTTGCGTGTGCGACTGGGATTTCGTTGCGAAAATTCATGCATGATGACCTCTCTGAGATATGAAGGCATTCCAAATTTCAGCTCTCTAGCCCAAACGGTTTAAAAGATACTGAGCCCCAAAGTTAGCCCCCAGGGGGAAAAGTCACCCCAATGGTCTAAGGACCATCTTCGGCTTTAATTGAGCTAGGAAAGAGTTCGACAGTTGACAGTCGAATTTGTCTCTTGAGAAGAGCAGACCAATATCGTCCAGTCAATTTCCCAGGTTCAACCCATTGTAAAATGTACAAATCTAGAGAAAATTATTTCAATACTACATGGTACTGAATCTTAAACCATGGAATATTATTGGACCGTCGTCTTCCTAACGATTTTTCACCATTAGTTGAGTACACCTGACGATATTGGTTTGCACTCGTCAAGTGGCATTGAATGATACTACTATTTAATTGTAACTTGAATCTGTAATGCAATCGAATTCCGGAGTTGGGGGCTGCATTCACATGGCGTGGTTTTAGTTGCTGGAGTCTTTCTTGGCAAGTGTAAATATACGTGCAAGTCCACCAAGTGGTGGACCTGGTGAGAAGATTTGACTATCAAATCCACAGAGTATTGATGTAACTCAGACATTTTACTCAAGCGTCTACCTTCTGTAAATAAAAAAAAGGGAAAGAAAAGGAATTTCAGGAATTGCAGACATTTTGGGTTCTAATTCTCCTATACTTGAAACAATGTGGGATATATGAAGGGTTGAAAGGTAAAGTGGTCTATCTGCAAAAATAAATGCAGAAAAAAGTGTTTTTGGTTTTGTGCTTATAAAACCTTGTTCCCTTCATAGAAAATTATCGTTTTTTGGAACTAAGTAAAGGATGAAGTGATCTATCGATACATACCACTTTTTCTCACTTTTAACATGACGGTCACTGGAATATTAACCCATTCTATGTGGAGCTCCAGGAAATAATTTTTAGCAGATAGATCACTTTGCCTTTCAGCCCTTCATATGAATTACAGCTGTACACTGGTCTCTGTCGGAGTATGCCTGGTTGTTACCAGGATTCCCATGCTTAGGAAGTTTGGTCAATTTTGGTAATTTTTGGTATATTGGGTTATATGGCAAGTTTTGAAGCACAAAATATCGCGAAAAAAAAACAGCATTCAAAATGACAGCACAAATAATACACCCCCAGAAGTGTCCTAGAGGGAACTTTCATTTGGCGCATTTTTCTCATTCTTATCTTGTTTCAAACATGAAATACAGGGTCCGTCAGAAACAACTGAAAGATTTTGTTTGTGAATTGAAATTTATTGTGCAATGTCACAAGAAAAAGAAATACAGATTCACATTTAGTATATTTGGGGGATATATCTTGCTGGAACCAGATGTCGTCAATGTTGTCCAGTTGTTGTAGTTGAGGGCGCAAATTTCCGATCAAGTTTCTGTACCGTTCTGCAGTCACAGTTACGGTTCCACCGTCTTCATTCTCGAATAAGAATGGTCCCAGAATGCGGAACGACGACACAGCGCACCAAACAGTAACTATGGGAGACTGCTATGGCCGCTCGTGAAATTGGTGCGGATTTTCATTTGCCCAGTACCGGCAATTTTGTTTGTTCACGTTACCGTTCACGTAAAAGTGTGCTTCACTGCTCATGAATAGTTTATTGGCAACATCCGGCACTGTCTGTTGTCACTCCAGGAAACGTCTGCAGAACTCCAATCGATGTTGTTTATCATGTTCACTCAGTTCTTGCACAATGGCTATTTTGTATGGGTGAAACTGAATCCGATGGAGAATTCGTCCCACATTGGCTCTAACAAGTTGAGCGAGGCAGCCCGGTGCCGAACTGACCGCTTTGGGCTTTCAATAACAGAGATACGGACTCGTTCCGTGTTTGCAGGTGAAGTGGCGGTACGTGGAGTTCCAGGTGGTTTGACATCCGTTACTGAGCCGGTGGTACGGTATTTGATCACCCACGACATTATGGTATTGTGACAAGCAATCTGCAGTTAAGAATGGATCGCTGGAGTGTACAGAGTGCGCACAAAGTCCGTATACCCCCTTACCCCCTATATGTACGTCAAGCTGACGCGAGTAATCATGCCACGTTCGTGCTGGTGACCTTCGCACGACCTTGGCACGTGTTCTCCCGCTGTCACAAGGTCTGCTTTCGTACGTACCAACAATCGCAATGCGTGGCGGCAGATGAAAGTCGAAGCGATGGCTGACACAAGTGATTACACAATCGAGGAGCGTTTGGTGGCCACTGTGTGGGTCCATGAGCTTCAAATTAACGGCACATCGATAAAAATTGTCATGGACGACTTCGTTGCGCGGTTTGAGAAGGCAGCACCGACAAAGAAGACGTTGTTGCAATGGAAAAAGAAGGCTTTTTCAACGGGCAGTGCTCGCGACGCGCCGAGAAGTGGACGACCATCCACAAGGCTTGAACGTTATTCAACAAACGATCAACTCAAAAATGCGGTGCGCGCAGCCTTCCAGAAAGTGACCCCAAGAATGCTGATTAACACGAACAACAGAATTTGGCGGCGCATTCGGCTATGCAGAGACCACGGAGGAACACATACGGATGTTTTGGATTCCTAAGAGGTACGTTCCACCTTTTGTGATACGTATATATAGGGGTATACGGACTTTGTGCGCACTCTGTAGTATGGATGTATTTCTCCACCGATCAGACCACCACCACATGGTACAATATCGTACCTGCACACATATATAATCTCATAACTGCAAAACTCTTAGTCAAGAATTTACATTCCCACCTTCAATCTCAAGGCTCCCCCTTGTAGCCCAAGACCTAAAAATCCCTCCGCCCCATTTCATGTTTTCTTTGTTTGGTCCCATTGTTGGCTTGCTTGTTTTTTTCGCATTTCCAGCCACTGTGAATGTGTTTCCCTACCCCTGTCTTATTTTTGCTACATCATTCTTTTTTGTTGGAGTCTATATTCTCCTTTATTTCATCCTTTTTTTGCATATTTTCTTAGGCAGACCTTCAAATTCCCATACCCGGAACCTGTTCCTTCCAACCACTTAGGCCAAGACAGACCCCAGGGACCACCAATCAATCTGATTGAGAATTGTGCTGTACGTAATGTCCTTCTCTATTTAAATCTGTTCAATTGAAACTGTTTACTGTCGGCCCAGCCGGGCTCGATCCACCTCATCAAGTGGGCACATTACCCCTTGCATGGGGTTTCAGTGCGCCCTGTCACACGTGAAGAAAGACCGTCCGCCAACAAGGGTGGCTAGCCAGGTCATTTAATCTCCCTGTGAACTCGAAGGACGCGGAACGATCCCAGGATGGCCTCTTTCTGCATAAGTGCGACCAATGTTGGAACTGCTGTCAACTTTCCGAAATTATGGCGGAGTTTTTCATCCTACCTTGGCACTCGATGACTGGCGTAAATGCTGCGAAACACAAAACAGGTCTCCATAGTCCGCCCTTTTCTCCTCCTCTGAGCTGGTGCTATGCTCAGCTGGACAAGAGAACTCGATGACCGAGTTCTTTCCTCTCCTTGTCCAGCAAGACGATTCGGGCTTCGTAGCGTCGAACTGCAGTGTTGGAGGAATTGTAATTCCACCAGAATTCTCCGCCTGTGTGACGATATCTTTCAGAGCAAACAGGAGAGTAGGTGATTCGTCAATTCCATAGGCATGTTGCAGTTGGAAATAGAGCCCACGGAGGTTGGTCCCATTTCAGTGACCAGTCAGAATCCACAGCAGTAAAATAAATGTCATCAACTACAAGGTAACAACAGTAGCATTGACAGTCTTTTATTTGCATCTCTCAGCTGAACATGAGAACAAAAAAAGCACCCCTCACTTCATCTGTTTCCAAACCTGTACCAGCATCAATTTTTAATATTCACTTATCACAGAGGGGCTCGGAAAAAAGCCGCAATGAAACATACAAGAATTCGAAGATACAGAAGATCTTGGAAGTCACATTCTGAGTGGCCCTGTAAACCATACATCTTTTGGCTGAGGTACTGCTTTCTGGTTGAACATGAGAAATACAAAGTATACGTAGGAAGAAAACTAGCATCATTGCTTTTTAAGAGTGAGATTCATTAATGTAACAACAGATAACTAACGTCCTCAACATTAGAGTCTCTTCGCTCTCTAATCCTTCCATAACCTATCACAAAATCCATAACCCCAAGGGGCGCTTCTCTCTCTTAAAAAGGGGTTCGTAGAAATACATGGTGCAATAAATTATGCAACATTTCCTTCAAAAAACAGAGGAAGGCAAAGCATGCAAGAGGTGCATGAGCAAGAGAGCAGTCAAAAGTAGACCGGCTGCCTGGCTGGAAAGGGTCCAGGCAGGCTCCCGCCATGCAGCACAAGTTGCCTTGCATATGACTCATGTGATGGAAGATGAGACGATGACGATGGCTCAATATCTCCAGTCCCAGGAACCTAAATGAATCAAATGGGAAATCCTCAGGAATGCAAAACAGAGATAGTGGCACACAGAAGTGCCAATGCTCACTTGTCAAGTGGCAAGTAGAAATAATAAGAATGGAGCCGACTACAATACCATCCAGACATAATCAGATGAAAGGAGGAGCAGAAGATGAATGTGAACAGGAGGGAGAAGGATCAGAATGAGGAGGAGAAGAAATCTCCGGGTCACTGCATATTATGACCGGGCACGGATATAATAGAGCTGCTGGTGCCACTCCTCCTCCTTCATGTAGTAACTGATCCAGTGCCTTATCATGCATAACAAAGACAGAGAAAGAAACATGCATTAACTGGATATCATCCGAGAGTATTGATGGAGCAGAGGACAGACCTGGGGTTGGGAAGAGAAAAGGATGTGTGGCTGATGCGAGAGGGCGGTAATGGGGTCGGGTGCAGAGGAAGTGGAGATGGGAGGGGAGGGGCTGTGAAGGGATACGTGATCACTTGGGGACACTGTGATTGGGTAGCTCACATTCTCTCCATTCCCTGATGCTGGAGACATCCTCTCCTCTGGGCTCTTGCAGGATATCACGCCTTTTTCAATTATCTAATGAGATCCAAGAAAATAGACATGATCAGGCATCGAAATGATTCTCAATTAAAACATGGTATTGAAGTTCATGCCCATACTAGCTCTTTCAAAAAGAAAACTTGATGGCAGAATCAAATAAACTGTACATAATTCATGACCCACATGAAAACTCCATGTATGGCAGGGCGTACGGTGCTATACTGGCATCCAAAAGTAATGTTACAAGGTAATTTTTGGTTCGCCTACGTAGGAGTTGTGAGGGCATTATATGTATTTTGCTGAACAAGTCATTATTAGCATTTACTCGTCAACCTTTAAGCGCTGTGCACCTGCCACGTCAGGAAAATGCCGAATTAGGTTTTCTCCATGCCATATGTTTATATTTCCATGGACAAAAAAATGGCCTAAATCCAAAGCGCATGTTATACCGTCGCCGAAAAACATCAGAGATACGCCAAGGCTAACGCAGCAACAAAGGGTGAAAATGCTCCAAGAGGGTTTAACGCAACAGGAAGTCGCGCGGCGATTCGGATGGGTTTGTGTGGCCTATACCGGGTTGAATCAGGGCTTCATCAAAACTAGCTGAACACTTGCCTTTGAGAATCGCTACATCTCTCAAGGTCAAGTGTTCTGCCAGCTTGTTCCGAGAAGGTCCAAGAGGGTGTAACGCAAACCGATACACTCTCTTGGAGCATTTTCATCGCCCCATCCCTTTGTTGCTGCGTTAGCCTTGGCATATCTCTGATGTTTTTCGGCGACGGTATAAGTGGATGGACAGTGAAATCATCCCATGTTTTACATACGGAAATCTGAAGTTTAAATATGGCATGAAGAAAATCAATTAAGCATATTCCTGACATGGCACATGCCTAAAACATATAATTACGCCCAGTATTATATAGGGTGCTTCAAAGTAAACGCTCCACCGTTTTCTATAGGAGAAACACACTTTCATAAATGCAAGAAAAAATTAAATTGACTACGCGATCGACGATGGCCGGTTACAAGGTGTTGAGATGCATGTCAGTTTTTTTTTTAAGTTTTTCCTTAGTCATGCAATGCCCATTTTCAGGTGAATTAACGGTGCCTAGAAGTGGATCATTCCGCCTCAAGTGAGGTGCTCGAACGTCTCAGAATTCATTAAATTTGGCAAACGGTCGTATTTTTTTGAGAATAGTCCGCAGACAAAGAAAAACATGACTGTACTTCGCGCAGAGGCCAAGAAAAGAGTTTTAATTTGACGAGGTGGGGGGTTGGGAGCACAAAATGGCCCCCAACCCCCAGATGCTAAATTTTTGACTATATGGTTTTTATGTCACCACCCTATTTTGATCTGCTATAACTTTTCGAGAGCAGTTGGATACAGCTGATACTTGACAGAGAAGTTCATGAGTCTAAGAGATTTTTGTACATCCACAAGACAGAGCTGGATGCGGATAGAGGGCGCTGTTGCTAACCAGAGGGTCCCCAATCTTCGTTCTACGCCACTTTTTAGTAAGAAAAAAAACCACAGGTTTTTTTTTGTTAGCATTTAAACCTTAAATGAGCCTCTCTGCCAATTATCAGCTGTATCTGAGAGCCCTTTCAAAAATTTTTGTCTTGAAGTCAATTTAAAAAAATATGAATCTAGTCCAAATCGGTTTGAGCCCAAAATTGGGCAAGATACTCTAATTGACTTTTGAGATGATGGAGCATAGACCATTACTGCATTTGACGTGTAATGATCCACCTGTAAACTTTGCAACAGGACAAAGCACAGCTCAAAGAATTGTTCCTAGAAAATCCCAGACAATCTTCTCAACACCTTGTATATGTCCAATATCAAGGCCTTATCATTTTTGCTCAAATATACGAATCTTACTTTCTCCCATAGAAAACAGTGGAGCGTTTATTTTGAATCACCCTGTATACGATCATATATTTGCTATATAATATTTTAGGCTTTCTGCGTACCAGCACTTACGTATTTATATATTATCGTTTGTATAGGGTGTCATATTTTATCTATAATAAAAAATAAAGGGTAGGAGCAAATGGAATCATGTCTGATATGTGGTGAAAATCCACAGAGAAGTTCTAAGGATTCAGTAAACATGGCATGAGGTTGTTAGTCGAGGGTTATGACCTTTAGATATATCTGCAACTTATTTCTAATGCACCCAATACATCACAGATGAAATATTAGCAATATATCACCTTTAACACATTGACTGACAGGGCACCTCCAGTGGGGCAATCATATTACCATTAGAACTGTCATGAAGGGGCCTCCCCCTGCAAGGATCAACATTTTTTCTGAGTTGTTGCTGCATATGTAAATATACGAGTCATGTCAGAAATCACTAAGTGCAATTTATAGGCACCAAAAACATTGTAAATGCATACCTACCTTTCCATGAAACTATCAAATTTGTCCCCAAGTGCTCCAAGGCAGAATTCCTCAAGACAACTACATAAACTGCATTACCATTAGCACTTGCAGATTAGTTAATATCTGCTACCACTTTTTTCACTGCTATTCCAATGTGGTTAAGTGCACAAAATTGAGTGCCAAGGAAAGGTTCTTTCAGCTTGGAATCAGGTCATAGTCACAAGTGCTTAGATCAGGTGAGGATTTTGGATGGTAAATGACCTCCTAGCCCCTTTCTAGAAGGTGCATACTGAGAATGTGCAAAGTGCCACATAGCATTTTCATGGAGAATGATGGTGTCCTGAGCCAGGAGTTAAGGAGGGTGTAATTTAATTGTAATATACAGTTTATTGGTATGAATTCCTAGTACAACACTGCATTAACCCTTTGTTGCATGGTGTCCATGTTTGCAGGCATTTTTGAAAATTCATTCTACAGCCTCCATTCTCCAACATTATCACTAAGACAACATTCCCATATTTGCAGACATCTCAACTATCATAATAAAATCAGAGTTGATGTACCTTGCCACTCTCCAGTGTCTCCTGCATGTTTTCTTCTGATATACCATACTTGGGTGGCAAAAACTGGGGGTCTCCCTGACGGGCAGATACAGAGGGAGGTGGGGGGGGTGACTGCCCCCCTAAGGCCAGGTTAGCATTTGATTTATTTATTCAAAACAGCATCTGCATTAAATTTTATTGGGGCCAGTGAAATAGATACTCAAGTTCTTACCCCAAATGAAAAAGGCGAAAGGATGAGGAATGGTGGTAGGTGGGGGGGGGGGGAAGGTAGGAACTTTGGGAATCCCCCCCCTATGAAAAATTTCTGCATCCACCCCTGCTCCCTCATCATTTATTTTCATATGCAAAGAGCAAATTTTGGAATTTTAGAAAGAGCACTGGAATGCACTTCTGAGAGAACTTACATGTGGACCAAGAACATGTTCCTAACAGGCATGTTGCATGTTATTGGCTACTATAACTCCCAAATTTGTTTGTCCCCATAAATGGACATCATGCATTTAGGGAAACCAAATGTCACGTCATGGATGCCACATTTGAACAAAGTGCACATCTAGGTAGAATGTAAGGTCTATTGCTTTCTGGCACAAGGCAGTGGCCCTGGACATCATGCTTGTCCTCTCTCATTAATCCACTAATAAGGAATCCTTTCAAGTAATCCTTTTTTTGTTTATGTCTTGTTTTGTTTTTTGGTAATTATGAAAAAGGAAATGCCCAAACATGCATGAAGGAATTGGTACACAAGCTCAAACTAGAACATTAAATTGATTTGAATTTAAAGGGTGTGGGATGGATATTTATGGATATTCAAGGGCACAATTTCAATACCAGTTATACTGATTGCCATACTAATTGCCCCAAGCAGGCACCTATAAGAGTCTTATGGACAAAATGTGGCAGGTAAACTTTTAAAGATATGCAGAAATATTGAGCAAAGTTTTAAAGTCATAAGTTGAGCCAATGCTAATATAAAAAACTGGCAAATATCAAAAGAGTCGTGGAAATGGGTGGCACCATTGTAAGTGCCAGTTTACTTCTCTTTCTCTCAAGCCACTTCACCATTGGGCCATTGCCAAGGGTCAAACTGTGAAGCATTGTCAAGATGAAAACTCTGAAGGCACTATTAAAAAGTTTTTAGAATGTTTCATCAATGTAGACTGATCGGGATGCATGTATCAGGCTGATACATGCTGCAAGTTGATGCAAGGTAAGCATTTTTCTCAGCAATTGTGCTGCTAAAGTGACCAAATTTGAAGTCATTATCTCCAGTGGTCTGCTTTTATGCAACAAATGGTTAACCTGGTAAATCCTGCCCAAGAATATGTGTCTGCCCATTTGATAGCATTATCCTGAACTTTTAGTGCAGGCATCATCTTTCTCCATGAAATATTTATGACATGCCATTTCACAAAATGTTAGTAAATTCTTAGAAGAAAGAAGCTGGGAGATTCTTTTAAACATCCCCTGTACACACTCAATACAAGCCCTAATGACTTAGACCTGATTTTGAGAGGAAAGAAGACCTTTGTGGTCATTGGTTCAGGGCACTCTTCAACCTTAGCGTAGCAGTAAGCAGTGTGGTGGCAGATATCAATCAATCTGCATATCCTGGTGATGTAAAATGGTTGACATGCCAGAAGGACTGTCATGGAACTCTTGGTGGCTTCTTTAAAGGTTGCATTTAGGCAAGAGTCCTAGCACAAAGTAGTTAGTGCAATAAAAATTTCTTGCTATAACTCTTGGAAATGAACTCGGTACAAGTCCAGATATGCTGAAACATAGGCACAGGTCTATTTCTCAGACACCACTTAATTCATGTCCCACTTATGATTGTCACCCAGTATGCCCATGTGTTGTTTTCATATTATTTTGTCTAGCATAAATACCAACAAATTGAGTGAATGGCACTGATGTACAAAGGGTGATCCAAAAGTTTCTGCCCTGAGATAGGGGGAATGTGATAGACTGTTGAAACAATTTGCATTTTTCAACATTACCTCCCAGAACATCAGTACTTCTCTGATTGGTGGAACAGGGCTTCAATTTTATTGGAAAGAAATCATTTTCCAAGTTAACTAAAAATTATTGAACAGCTTCACTGAATTGACATCACTGACAGTTTCACCTTCATGGACACTTCACAGAAGTTTTGCTTTAAATTTGTTATTGAATGAACTGTCTTATTGGGATGAATATTTTAAATAATAATACAAATTAAAAAACTGTTCCATATGTAAAGTTTCCCATTTTGAAATGGATACATTTTTGGCTGGAACGTATCTTGTATACAAATTATTATTAAAAATATAAATGCTCCTTAAACCAGTTGTTGACCCTTGAAACTATCAAAATGGATAAAAGAATATGTGAACCAATTTTCAACCTTCTCCAATCAGTCCTACTTCCTCAGGGTAGAAACTTTTGGATTGCCCCTTGTATGTACACCAATGATAACTCATAAAATTTTGGATAACCAACAATTAATTTACTAATTCATCAATAAAGTTTTTTGTCTATTCATGCTCTATGGGCATAAAGAAAGATTTCTTACTCAATTCATAGGGTGATCAACTTTGCTGCAATAAATACATAGAAAATTTGATAGTTTCACTTTTACCTACTGCACTTTTATATAGAATTTGTTCCATCGTTGGCATCATCCATAATGATACTCTGGACATCTAGAAGATATGAGCATTGCAATAACATTGACATGTGTTAAAAGTAAAAAAACCACTGCAGTAGCAGACAGTACAGCCAGCAAAAAAAGTAAGCTAGAGTGACATTCCCATACTTCTTGATGTCATGCATATATGTATGACTTCATATAAGAACTAATATGACATAGCATATATGAGATTGTATGGGGCGATATATTTTGATTCTTATATCATTGTTACTGACTTGTGTCAAACCACATATATGTTTAATATATTTTCATATCTGGATGACAGAATATGATCATATATGCCCCATTTAGGGTACAACTTTTTAAGTTTGGACAGTATCCAAGTTTGGACACTGTCACATACATCATTACAAAACCAAGCATTGGTGAGCTCTCCCTCAGAAATGGTTCTTTGCAGCTTGGAAGAGCTGTTTCTAAGGGTAACCTTGCAAATACTTTGTTTCATAGCAATTTATTTTATGGTGTCTGAACCTAAGTACTGTCTGGTCTAAAAGGGTTTTACCCAACATTCTATTACCAAAAGCATTGGGACAAGCCTCCCTCCACCTAAAACACTGTTCCAGAGGTCATATGGTAGAGAGCATTATGGAAGTCCCTAAGAACAGGGTGTCCAAAAGTCTCTATCTATTTTGCAGAACTAATGATATTTTGATTTTGCAGGGATGTAAACCCTTTCATGGTCATGCACTCAAATATCAGTCATCCTCCAGAGAGGTTTCTGAAAAGCTGGACCGTGAAAGGGTTAATGGATAACATTGAGTCCTTATGAATGTGTGGTAGTGATTTCACTTTGACTCCAAGGCAAGTCATGCAATGAGATCAGGGAACAGTTTCAAAGAAAATTTAACAAACCTGGACCCACAGACTAAGCAATTTGTGAATGGGTAAACAAATTTAAATGGACAGGATCTGTCAATGATGCAAAATCTGGCCATCCATGTACTTCCCAGGATACAGTGGAATCGATAAGAGAAGCCTTTGAACGTAATCCTAAATTGTCAGTCCACTGTGCATCATGTGAACTGAACATTCCTAAATCACAAAATTTTGAAATTTACTCTAAAAAAAAAAGTGTACCACATTCAAATGCTGCATGATTTACATGAAGAGGATTATGATGCACAAGCCACAATGTGTGGTGTGTTCAACAAATTGAGATGGAGGATTTAATGGGTCACATTCTCTTTAGGGATGCACAAGTGATGTGGTTCAAGAAGTCACATCACGAGTGATGTGGCTTCTGGCATGCAAGAAGAGATGGATCACAAGAACATCCTATAGTTCCAAGCATCAGTCAGTCCCCATCACATTTCACTTGGAACTTTTGGTAGGAAACCTGGTTGCCACCTCCTTTCCCAAAGCAGTTTTTTTGTTTTTTGAGTCAAATGTATTGATTCTTCATTGATAGTTCAGGTCAATGCATCAATGTTTTGGAAACTGCCATTGTGACAACACTAAGAAGAAAATACATTTAAATTTAGGAGACCCTGAAGACAACCAGATGGTGAGTGAGACTAGAAAGATCAGTAACTTGACTCTTAATAGATAGAATATTATGGAATTAAGCAGGAGGCACATCATATTGAAAGAGCATAGGTCACCTTGTTTCGAGGGTGAAGGGAGATGCAGCGGCGCTTGATACATGCCTTACGCATTCTCTTATTCAGGCAATAGCGACAGGTCCCACAATTCTGCTTCTCCTTACACCCACTACACACATGGCATCGAGTGCGGCGTGGCTTTGCATCATTCCCACAAACTACTTGAGGCACCCAGGTGGTACCAATTTCTACAGCTTCAATAGATGTGTTTCCAGCATCCTCATCTGCCTGCAATAGAAATGAGAGGTGAAGATAAGTAGAGATGCAACGATATTTTATCTATTATTGGTATCAGCTGATATTGAGTGAATCTCATATATCAGCCTGAAACGATATATGACCTGCTGATAATTGATATTGAAATGACACCTGAAGTATGCCAAATGCTAAGTAAGTAAAGCGAATGGTGAATATTCTCTCATTTTTCACATTAGTGTTTTTCACTTGACTCAGACATACGTTCATGGGATGTTCCTCATGCTTGAATGTCAAAGTCAAGTGAAACATACAGCAGAAGGTTGAAAATACATAAATGACATGTTTTCATAAATAAATAAAAATTAGACTGTTGAAAATGTAAGTATTTTTCCCCTTTGGACTGGGAGTGGCCACAAGGCACTGAAGCTCCACCCCTATTTGACAGTCAGTGTCTTCCAGTGACAACTTGCGACCTGTTGCAAGCACATGATATAGGCATAATAGACTGTGATAGAGATCTAAAATCATATCATGTTTGGTTTAACCACCATGATAACCTGGAGATATGCCACCTGGGTTCAACCTTCACTCCCGCAGTTCTTCAACATCCCACATCTAGAGATGGGAGTGCTCTGTGCTCAGGTACTCCCTTCCCAAGCACACTGGCACTTGCATTAGGAAATATACACCTGACTTGGCTAGGTTTGAGCCCAGGCCCCCTACCACAGGATATACAGGGTGCTTGGAAAAAAAGTACACCATTATATATTAATGGGTTTCTTAGCAACCAGGAGACCAAGCTGCCTAAAAATTCGAATAAAAAGAGTTCAAGTAGTCAGGAAACATGCCTTAAAATATCAGGTTGATTCATTTTAAATGGCATTTCCTGGTACCATATGAAAATCCTATCATATTTCAGCCGATAAGATAAGATCACTCTGACTTGTTACATATAACATTAAAGCTGATATTGTGATGGTGATTCTGCTTTATTTGTTTTTGTTCTTCTTTTAATCTATCCTTTTTCCCCTGCAATTCCAGATGTCGGTAGAAAAGTCTCATATTCGTGTTTGCATGCTTTATGAATTCAAACTTGGAAGAAACGCCGTAGATGCGACCAAAAACATTTGTAAAGCTTTTGGAGATGGTGTTCTTCCTGTTTGAACATGCCAAAGATGGTTCAAGAAATTTAGATCTGGTGATGAAAGCTTGGAAGATGACCCGGCCAGGAATTGAATCAGCGACCTCAACAAGGACTCCTCAGAAGATGTAGTGAACTCTGAGCCGTACTTAACGCCGCGGGAGTTGGCGGATAGACTTGACACTTCTCAGTCAACCATCTGCAGGCAACTTGAGGCAATTGGAAAAGTGCAGAAAATCAGAAAATGGATTCCACACACGTTATCCATTGAGAATGAGGCCCTGTATGTTAACATTAAGCGGCAGAAACAATGGGTGGACAAAGACCAGATGCCAGAACCAACTCCAAAGGGTGGACTACATCCAAAGCAGATCATGCTCTGTGTCTGGTGGAATATGAAAGGGATTATCCACTTTGAGTTTCTTCCCACGAACCAAACGATTACTGGCGATCTCTACGCACAACAACTGGACCGACTACACCAAGCGCTACTCCAAAAGCAACCGGCACTGGTCAATTGAAAGGGAGTCATTCTTCTGCATGATAATGCTTGACTTCTCGAATTGTGAAACAAAAAATCAGGGAGCTGCAATGGAAAGTTTTGGGACATCCACCATACTCTCCAGATCTTGCGCCATCAGACTACCACTTGTTTCGCTCGATGCAGAACCATCTGACAGGGAAAAATTTTCAAAATGAAGATCTCAAAAACGAAATAGCTGCCTATTTTGTTTCAAAGCCAGCGGATTTCTACACCAGAAGAATCCTGCAACTACCAAAAAGGTGGCAGGAGGTTATTGATTCAGATGGAAAATATATTATTGTATTGATTAGTGTGTATTATATTGAATAAATTATCACTTTTAAAAAACCAATAAAAAATGCCATTTCAAATGAATCAACCTGATATTAGGCAGATCAGTTTGATCTGAACCCTGATTCATATCATTTAATGAAATGCTCTCAAAATTAGACAAAACAGTTTATTTTATCACCTCAGTTTAAACAAAAACAACAATTAATGCAAATAAAGAGCAATCAGCACATTAGTTTATCTTTGGAGACAGTGGGCAAAGTCATTGACAATTTTTTGAAGAGACTCAAGTAGTGCATCGATGCCAGAGGTGGCCATGTTAAAAATAAGTGACTCTATTGTGATCCCAAGATTGTAAACTACATTATTTTTGTTCTCACTGGTTGTAAAAATTTGATCATTTTCAATAAATTATTTCATTGTTTTATTTTGTCCGGGTATTTTTGCCATACCGTGTATTTTCCTATATTTTTAATTGAATAAGGTTATTTTTTAGGGAATTAGTGAAAAATACATGGCAGTGTATTAAATTGAGATGCTGAGTACTGGAAAATTACAGGGCAAAAGTTGTACTTATGCACAAATTTTGATGAAAGCAATCCAAGCAGAAACCCAGTCACCCAAGAGAGAGATGGGAAGTGTCATCTACTTAACTCGGCCTAATGCCACTACCATAGCCTACTCCGTGCCTTCTGCAAAAATAGACATCGCTTGTGTTCGCGTGAAGAACCCAGGCCTAGATGGATCCCAAAACTGGTACAAAAATGACTAGACAATAGTCTGATTTCAACTCTTTCGAGCCCAAAGGTTCCATTTGGAACCGCTGATTTTCAGGAATTTCGTCATCTTTATATTCATTTTAGGGCTGTGCCGATGGCCACATTTGGCCAGTAGACTGATGACCCATTTTGAACTCATACCCATTGACAGGTGCAGGAGGTGGAGCTGATCATGGTCTACAGATTGAGAAAATAACATGGAATCGCAAACGAATTCAAATAAGCCTATTGGGAAGCCTTGTGATACCTATCAGTGAGTCTCCTGAAAATGATAGAGACCACTTTTAGTCCCTTCCAGACTGTCTGCCTGCGCCCATCAGTGACTAGCTTGTTACCTATTGTTGCAAAGAGCGCTTAATGACACCACTCGCTAATGCACAGCATAAAAGGAGGTGCAATGATTTCATGGTCTTTACTGCCATTTTCCTCCCACAGTTCCTATAATCAGGCTGAAATATAATCCGATCAAGATTTTTTCCTGGGAGAGAGTAGCAGGGAAGGCTTTCACTGAGACAGTAGGGCTGGCACCAAGCAATGTTCACACACTCACATAGTTTTTTTTACATTTTGCCCTCCTTCAGGCTTCGGCATCAGCAGCTTGCAACCTTACAGACAGCCATTGCATCAATGGTGCAACAGCAGAGGCCAATCTCTGAGGCTGTCAGTACATCAGTGCAGCCGTAATTTATTAAAAACATTAATTGTCATAATTTATATTTACATATTTATAATATAATGTAATACATAAATATTTTTGCATATAAATTACTTCTGTAATATAATTCATATAATTAACTGCCTAAGAAATTTTCCTGTAAAGCAGTTGTTCACATTTCATCTGCATTGCAAATTATCTGATGATGTGTTAATAATCTGTCAGTCATGCCCCTCTGGGTGTCCAATGGAGGTTAGGAGGAAACTTTGACACTCTTTATATTTTCTCAACTGAGTGCTACTTTTGAAAAAAAAAAAAAGTAACTGCTGTTCCACCTTCTTGCAAGTTCTATGATTGAAGATAGTAAAGAAAATGCCTGATGTAAGTCCAATGTAATATTTTAAAATCCACATTGAAGAGCCTGGCTTCAGCATGAACAAAACATTTCTTCTCACTGAAGAAATGGCAAAAGCATGAGGTGCACCTCAAGCTTTCACCATCAGACCTAGTTCCAAATAAAACTTAACAGTAGAGGGGTTAATGCCTGAATGTGTGAATATAAATTTAGATATGGATATCGGTATCAGTTCTTTTCCAATATCGGAATTATAGGGATATCAGATATCAGCCAAAATTCAATATCATTGCATCTCTAAAGATAAGTGAAGTATTTTCTTAATCCAACTTTTTTTTAAATCCATTAATTCAGGAACCTCGAGGAGGTTTTGAGTCAAACAAATGATCCAGAAAAAACAAGATCTGCATCAAGGGTAAGCCAAGGTTAGGTCAATTAACATTAGTTAAGAAGTGGAACCTGACAAAAGTAGTTGCCAATAAGGGTACCATAAGAGATTTTCAGGCTCTTGGAGAGCTCCAAAAATGTCATTTCTTGAGGGATTTCTTTACCTTTTGTTCCTCTCCTCAACTGATACTGACAGCTCCACTCATCTTGCATTATCCCTTACAGACTACTTTTTTAAAACTTATTGTGCTAGTTAAAAATGCATAAAGCAGCTGAACACACCATAAGTTTCTTAGGCAAAAATCCCTATTTTATATAATTTATGTGACAAAGTAACAAACATATAATATGGATCCATCAAATGCATCATTTTCCCCAGGAGGGGTCAAATATTTTTTTATTATAAAAAAAAATATATTGACCCTCTCACTGTGGCTTCCGAGTATACTTGTTTTCCATTATCACTTTCACCCATGGTCCTGAAAATAATTCAGCAGTGAAAGGGTTAAAGACAACTAATTGGCAAGGAATTTTGTCTGCAAAGGCTAGAAGGGGTGCTTTGTCATTTTCCTTTCCCAATTTGCACCACTCCCACAGATAAGATGCTCTCCTACTTTCCACCTTGGGCTTTCCTTTCCCCTCTCACTCCCATGGATTAATCACATGAAGTTACCAGTGAAGAATGCAACAATAACTGCTAAAAAGTTTCTGACTGGAGAAGAGTTCTTTGCTTCTTGATGTCACTTCCAGAGCAATATACACCCAGGAGAAATTGAGTTGGCTGGGAGACATAAGCTTCTGGGATAGCATCTGGATTCTTAGAAAATGGCCATTTGAAATTGTTGTAGTGTCACTGTTTTGAGTGAGAGAGAGAGAGAGAGAGGCAGAGAGAAAACTTGAGCACTCTGGTATACAGGTCTTCCTACAAAACCCCAAAAGTTGCCATTCAGTCCCATTCCACTCTGCTCCCATGGCAGATTCCCATTCTTGCCACTACCTCACTGAATGATAGGGTTCCACTCCTGTGAAACCTGTAGGAGTGCTGTACCCCTCTCAACAATTCTCTCCCAAGTCCTATTACAAGATCTCCAAAAGAATTGGTATCGGTGCATGTTTTTATTATATTGCACTAATCCTGTTTTTATTATATTGCCTATTGCACATGATATGTTGACAAATGAAAGCCTAGATGGGATTGGCATATGACACTCCCCCTAACTACTGTGCTCTGACTACAGAGACATGAAACTTCAAATGGACTTCCACAATCTCATATTTGAGAGAGTTCCTCACCTTTGTCTCAAAAAGTTGACAGGAATCATGAAACAATGAGTCATTGTAACAAAATAACATGCAAACTATGCCTTCAAAGCAAGCAGACTCAATAATCTGCACCAGAAAATCTTATGCTTTTTAAATTTCTGAGGTTGGGAATCAACAAAATGACCATATTAACTGTTATCAATTGAAGTCTCAAGAAGGGACACTGACAGAGAATCCACCAGAACAGGCATGCAGATGACAATGACAGTTTTTAACTTTCCGAAGGAAGGAATCAGGAGACAAAAGACACTCACAGTGGAGATGTCCTGATTGGGAGCCATAGGGGTGTCATTATTTTCAGTGGAATGAGAACAGGTGTCCACATGCATGGGCCAGTGCTTCTCCTGCATAGAAAGCAATACCACTAAGATTCCTTTTGCAGCCTCATTTCCTTCTGTGATAAATTTTTACAGTGCTTTTCAATGGACTTGGATGCTCAAGCATGAGTTGTTCCTTGCCTAGGTGAAATGAAAAATGTCTGACTTAAGGGAAAAACACAGTAAAACAAATGACCATTTGAGCAGAAATGACAAACCTGGCATAAATGAGAGCAGTATGAAGTATTCCAACAACAATAATACTGAGCTTCCAGGAAACAGTTGGCACACCACTGCTTCTTCTTCACTTCTTCAATCGTCTTCTTTGTTTCCTGTTCCCAAGTTTGCCTTAGCCTTTGTGACTCCAGATCAAACAGTTTCTTGTGTTCTAGCAGCTGTAGCTCTAGAATCAAGAAAATCCTATTATGATGAAGTGCTAATGCAGGTTATAAAATGAGAGAGGAACATGGAACATAAATTTACCAAAACTCTTCTTCACTTCAGTCATCTCTTGTGCATGCTTCCATTTCAGTCGCTCATTTTCCAGCTGAAGGGTTTTGATGGTGGCCTCTGGGCTCCCCATGTTCCCTGTCTCTCGTAGTAAGCTCTCTATGAGATGTGTCATTTGAGATGTTACCTAGAATGTGAAAAACAAGCTTCCTTTATAGTAAATGCTCTAAATGGTATATTAGAATCAATTAATTGTATTATCAAATTCTGTTGATAGCCCAAAATTTCCAGCAATGCAGGAAATGAGTCTCTGCAATCAGCTTTTACCTGCTTCCCTCCCACTCACATCATGAATATTATATACAGGGTGTCCCAGAAAGATGTACACACATCAAGTCAAGCATACAGTGATATGTTGTCAGTCAGCATTGAATCTTGTTTGATCAGAAAGTCAACTGATGATTCACATGGTACACTTCCATAGGCATTTAAATTGCCCACCATTGGCAGCAAGGCAGGCATTGCAGTGGACACCTTGTCCTTCAGGACACCCTATAAGTGAAATGTTGGGGGTGTTCAATCTGGATTTTGTGGTGTGTATTCCACAGGTCCATGTTGTCCTATCCACCATCCAGGATATTGCCAAGTGCCTTCAGCTTCAAATTTTTCTTGCAATTGTGGCATGTGTTGGGGTGTTGTTCCATAGTCATGTTCCATGGATGCTGCACCTAGCTACATTCTCAAATGTCCAGTGCCACCTCAGTAACTACTTGTGCTGATGAAATGACAGACACACCTGCGCCAATGTGGCCACGCAATGACAGTAAGTAGTGTTAGCTATTTGGTGAAGTACTGCATAATAACAGCATTATTTGGCTTTCTGATGGAACAATACCCAATGCTGATGGACAAGATGTCACTGTATGCTTGGAAATTGAAGTGTGCATACATCTTTCTGGGACACCACAAAAAAAAAATCATTTTTGCCCTTGCAATCTTATCCAATGCCTGCTTCAATTCATTGGAAGGGGTTGTCTTCAGCAAATTCCAGCAGGAAACCCTGCATAATCTGTCATATGATTTCAATCTTTAAAACTTGAACAGCAAGAGGAAAGAGCAAAGATTCCCTTGTCAGACCTTCGACAGCCAACAAGATTAACCTTCCATGCATGCATTCTTAAAGGAAAAAAAAAAAATTGCTTTTATTGGTTTCATGTTTATGGTGGTACTCTGCTGTAGTTATATGTTCCATATGTTCCATGGCCAGGAGACAACACAGAATAGATTATGTGTATTGCAGTGAACTGCAAGCACCAGAAGTTCCAAGGCATGTGTACAGTACAGATGGCTGCAATGCCATCATCAGAGCCAAAATTACGTAGACCACTATAGTGGACATTGTGTATGAAAGGGTTAAGGGATCTGTCTTTTCTTCTTGCAAAGCTGACCAAAGGACATGTGTAATTAATCATTTTGGACAGATTGTATCATTTCTCTTGCATGCAATGCTAATGAAATCTTCACATTCACTATTCCAAAGGTAGCAGACCTTGGTGGCAATACCGAAGACCTCCCGATGGACAGGGCCCACATCAGCATTGAACACTGTTGTCATAGAAGATGAGGCAGGGCTGGCAGGAAGAGGGCTGGATGTTCCTGCTATGGCATTCATCAATGACACTGCTCCTCCCTTTGGCTGTTATTTCAACCCATAAATTAGTACCTTCATTTCTCTTAGTGATGGTTGTAATAAAAACATGAAAATCCAGGCCAACTCACAGCTTGCAAAATGGGAGAAAAGCAATTTCCAGGAGCAGGATGAGCAAAGTCCTTCACAGAGATTCCTCCATTTGAGACAACTGGAGCTCTGCCCCTCCAGACAACATTCGGAGGACCTGCATTCAATGCCTGAGCAAAAGAATTTCCACTGGACTTTGATGGTATCGGAACAATAGTCACATTTGCCCTTTTTGGGTTTGTTGTCACTTTAGGCTGTTGCATCACATTTGGGAGCCTATTAAGCCTTGGATGTTTGTCAGTCACAGATTCAATCACCTTTTCTAGGTTCTGCACATATTCACTGCTGAAACCTCTCTTTGCAGACCCATGTTTCTGAAGCTCCCCCTTTTCATTCACTTTCACTATTTCCACTTCCCTCTCCACTGATTTTGAAGATGAAGGTTTGGGATTTGAGGGGTCGACAATGGAGATCTGGATACTTGAGCTAACTTGGAGCCTTGTGGGAGCAGGAGCTGCATCAAGTTCTTCAGGCTCTGGTCCATCAAGGGCCAGAGGGTCTTCTTCTACACTCTCCTCTCCTGGTGTTTCAACTTCTACTTCTGTAGCATTCATTGCCTGCAAGTGCAAACTGCCCAAAAACTTATGCATAGCCAAGTCCATAGAGGCTTCTTCCTGGGAACTTTCACTATCTTTGTTCCTTGGATTTGACACATGGGAGGATGCATCTCCAGTGAATGCATCAGGGGATGCTACTCCATCGTGGGATGCAGATTCCTCTAATACCTGCCTTTCCTCATTTTCAGCACCATTTTGAGTGGTCTCCCTGCTCATACTGGGTGGTGTTACCCTGTCCAGTTCCTTGTTCTTAGATTGCACAGCACTTTCCATCACTTGAGTCCAAGTGGTGGTATTATTAAATTTCCCACCTCCACTCCTGGACTCTCTTCTGTGGAGAGATTGTGCCTGGAGTAAAGATTGTGGCTTGAGGTGAACCTGAGGCCTATGTTCTACAGCATTCAGAAAGATCACAGAAAGATCACTCCTTGATTCCGGCTGGAGAGGTTCCTCCTTTACAGCTATGTGTTCAGAGAATTCCTCCTTGTCTTGGATCATTCCATTGGGGCCTACTTGTTGTCTGGTAACAATGGGTCTTCTGCGCATGCCTGCTTTGCGACGTCGTCTTCCACCATCTTTCCTCTTCAGGGAAATCTGCTGATCATGGTGTGGCTGAGAAGATGGTTTGGAAGGGCCGAGAATCCTCAGGATCTTCCCCGATGACGTTTTACGGGATACAAGGCACCTTCGAGCAGGGCCTATGTACAGTAAAATTCAATAAAGATGTCAAGAAACAAAAACAGGAAATTGATGGAAGTGTATTTCAATGCAGAAACACCACACCAGATTTGATCTGGATTTTTTAGGGGAGGGCAAATTATATGATTATTCATGTTGGTGATTGGTTCTTCATGAGGCCTGAAATCCTTCACAAAGAATGCAAAAGGACATTGACAGACTTTGATGTATAGCTAAATGCAACCATAGAACCATGGTCTGGTTCCTGATATGGTCCCCAGATAATAGCAGTAGCAAGTATGGTAGATACAAATTTAACATCAACATGATACAACTTTGTCAGTTTCCCTTGCATGTTGTGCCTTGATCTTAGTCCCTCTCCTTTCTGCCTCTTTCTTGGCTCAAATTATGCAAAAAGATTACTATCCTTTCACAACTGGAATGGCATGACAAATGCAATGCCAGGAAAGAGAAAAAAAGGAAAGGGTCTTGTCTCCAGTGAGGATTTGATAATTAAAAAATGGAAGTCAAAAAGACCACAAATAGATAAAGATGTGCTATTCATGGGCTTTCCTTCCCTTCATTTTGATCCCCTGTAGATTTCTCCACCTACCCTAACTTCCCTGTTCCTTTCATTTATTTTTGATCTGCACTCTTTCCCTTGTTCTATTTTTAAATTTATTTATATTTATCTCAGAGTGAATGTTTGGGTGTTCATAGTATACCATGAAAATACACTGCAATTGCATGCATTTGTGCCAGAGAAAACATGAAAGCATAAACCATAAATTGTGGGGGGAATAAACTCTGTCTGGAAAACCCCAAGCAAGATTCAGGTAGCAAAATGATATCTTTATTTGTAGGACAGTTAATGCATACTATATAATGTGCTAAGTGACAATGTAGTGGCTGCCCCAATTGCAACTAGCTTTGAGAAGAGGCTTGATGCCTTCATGGACAAAACAAAATAAAAGGGAGCAATGTAGCTGTACTACAAAGCTGTGGGAGGTTCTGAAACATGAAAGCTTTTACCTTTGAGAGGGTTATGCCTCTCATATGATACATGGCCACTTGACACAGAATGTCATAATGGGTAGAAGCCTCTTGACACTCCTATCCTAACCTTGAACCAGCTCTACCAAATGGTAAAAAAACCTGGTGGAAACAGTGATAGGCTTTGTGCACCACATCTAGTTGCTATATTAACTGAATATACCAATGCAATTCTGTCATTTCATTGGTTGTAACAGTGTAAATCCACTATTGCACTCTAGAAGCAAACAAACTAAATACCAGTTTGGAATATATCAGACTTTGCAGAGAACAAGTATTGTGAAAATCATGCAGCAGATTTGAAAGACATATTGCATTCATGTTGTCATACTCAGCATGCAATGGGAACCTTCTTTCCTGATACTGAGGATATTATTAATGCTCCAAGAATGGTAATAAGGCAACTGTTCAAGATTTAATTTGCTCTGCATTCCAGCCCAAGCCAATGAGAAATATCATAATATGGGTCTGCTATACACATCAGTAGGAATAAATCACTCACTATGACAGGTCCAATTAAACTCATTACAGCATCGCACTATAATTTGAGGCAGAATAAAGTGCACAATGGCAAAATGAAGTACAACCAGTCCCTCACCTGTAACTTCATCAGAAGCAAGTTTCACAGTATTCCTGGCAATCTTTCCATTACATTGCTTCCTGGTCAAAGAGAAATCTGGAGGTGTAAGAGGGTCCTGAAGAGGAGCTGTCACCATCCCAGTAAATTCACCCTAGCATGATAGACCTCAATGAGCACTCCCAAAAAGACAAAAGGGAGGAAATATTTAGGGGAATGCACAAAGCTATAATGGTACCTTTGGCCACTGAGCTTGTAGGACAGATATCCAGTCATCAGCAGGAAGAGGTGTCTTCGGAGGGGAAATCCTGAATGGGCCAAACTTGGCAGTTACCTTTGAGATGTAAGCCTGGATCTCTTTGAAAGGAATCCCCTGACGAAACCTACGATTTCTGGTGGAGCCTGGACATTCTGTGCTGTACAGGAAGCAGTGCTTCAAGGGGACCCATGCTCTAGGGGGAGCAAATCACATGAAATAATCATTATGAAATAAGATAACTGAAGATACTTACTAAGTAAGAAGATTACGAAGTCAGCAATACCTGTCATGAGCTCCAAAGAACCGTACATCAACACTTCCATTTGTGCATCTCATGGCCTTCCCAGGCCAAAATGGGAAAGACCTCATTCGGGCCCAGATCAGCACATGGGGATAGGTCTAGTGGGCAAAAAGTAGTACCAGTTCTGATAAGTTGTGATAAATTTCAAGAAAGCATCAATGCAGAACTTAGTGAAGAAAAAGACCATACACAGACTTCGGTGAACCAAGTCTCAGGTTGAATATGAGCGTGGTAGTAGCAATCAGGACAAACGCGAATCTCAGAAATTTCCTCTCGACATAACTTCACAATTTTCTTTGCAACAGTTGTCAAAGGAGAATCAGCTGCAAGGAAGAACATAATTTAGGATGCATCAGGCAATGTAATTCTACTTATAATCAGATTTGGTAAACAGAAAATAAAATCATACATGAGTTGAAGACAATGCAGTTATGGAGGATCCACTTGACATCACTGAAAAAGGAGTCAAGACTCATGTAATGTTTCTTCTTCAGCTGATACTCCACAGATGATAGGTCAAGAGGGTGACAGATATACTCCATGTACTTGGGATAGATGTTCAGGGGTACAGGCTTCAGGAAGGGATCACACTGAAAAAAAAAAAGGACTCTCTATAAGTTATATGATACTCTACTTTCGGAATATTTGTTTAAAATGATAATTCTTGAAAATATTTATTCATGTTGAAGAAGTTTTGCTGAGTACGATCCATGAAAATCAGGTTGAAACCAGTGTTAACTAATTAATTTTAGCTCTAGTATTTCCATCCAGGTTAGTTCAGTTTAATCTGGCTATAAAAACAAACAAGCCAGGAGGAAGTAACAAATCCATCAACAGCTGGTCAGTCTATGTTCATGTGGCTTTACCCATTATATGTGATTGAAAGAAATCATTCTCACCCCAGGGACAGATTTCAACCTTTGCAATGCAAACATGAGTAAGGTGTTGACCCTGTCAAGCTCTCTTGGAGTCATCTTGCTGAGAAAAAGAAAAAATAGATATATGAAAAATAAAGGTAAGAAAAGAAAAGAAAACATTAAATCTAATGGCAAAAGTACAAAATGCATGATCATGGGAGACAGCATATAATACATCATAAGGAATAAAATTTCATCTTTACCAATTGGAATCATCTTCTTGCTGATGCAGACATTCTGAACAAATGAAGTCAGGGGAAGACACTTCCCCTAAGCACTGAATATGAAAGCTACGTGGACAGCCTCCACACGAGCCAGAGATCTCTCCCTTGTGACAAATCCAGCAGAACCTGTCCTTCACATCCTATTAGGAGAAAGCAATTATTCTACATTACTTCTTCCCTGCAAGTCATTATATGTCTCTTTTGTTTAGACCTATCAAGTCCAGATTGTGACAGAAATATGATACAAATGAGAATAGGAACACATGCTCACAGGCCCACTGAAAACCTTTCGTCTCTTCCTTGGGATGAAAACCTTGGCTTGCCTTCTCCTCTTGTTATTCTGTCTCACACGTGTCTTCTTTGAAACAAGTCGTGCACCCATAAATTCCACTTTCACTGAGGAAGAGTTCCTCTTCCTATTAATACTGTTGATGAGCTTCTGACCTTCAGAAACTGATTGGGAGTTTTCCAAGAGTTTATCACATCCAGGTTCATGCACTACAGAATCTCTAAATGTTGTTTCTTTTGTAGCATCACCTTCTTCCATGCTAAATGCACTATCATTCTCATCAGAAACTTGGTCATTGACTGAATTTGCATTATTACCTTCTGGTGAGGGATCACTTACTTCCCATGCTTTCTCCAAGTTTTTGATCATGGTGTGTCCATTAGTCTCATTTATAAAGTCACCAGAAGCACTGAGAGGCATATCCTCCATCTGTAGGGATAAAATAAATTTTAAAATATTTGACAAAATTTGCACTATAAACCAACAAGGGCTATGTACTACATGACCAACTGCATCAAAAATTCACATCACTTGATTCTCATTTGCTCATCATGATTATCATCTGCTGTTGGAAGCAACAGAGAAAAACCATTTCCAATGTATTTACATTAGGCAGCAATGATTCATACTCTGAAGCTTCCAATTTGGGTAACACATATGACAACCAAAGTATCACCACTATTTCCACTGATACATATAAAATCCTACTTCCCTAACATCCTGCCTCTACAGGGGCCAACCAATCTCTGGCCCCTTTTAGAGATGCCACTGGGAACCACCTTCTTTAAACTTAAATTAAATTGTCCTATCAACAGAATCATCAGCTCCTCCTCCCATTTTCTAGGCTTGGTAAAGATAATTTCTTCATAGTCTTTCTAACATTCTTCTCTTGATCCTCTGAACTTCCTTGACTTCCTCCATTCAATCCAAATCAGACTACCGCAGCTATTTCTGGCCTCATTTCATGATAAACATTATAGTAAGTGAAGGGTTTGCAGTGAAGAGCAAGGGAGATCCTTAAGCACATGTCCAACCAGTCCTCCTCTGTTTACTTCCACAAGTGCCATCTTCAGTCTCTGTTCTCCATTCTCTGCCTTCATTAAACACTTTCCAAATCTTCAAAACAATTTAGTGACAGTGATACATCCATTTTCTATTTCCATCCTGCCAGTAATCTACCAAAACACTTACCAAATTTTGCCAACCCTTGTATCACATTCATGAAGACTATTTAGACCAAGACCAAGCTACCATTTTAGATTGAGTTATTCAAGACTCATCTGCCAAAAGCATGCAAAATCAAAATAGTCAAATGTTTCAGTGCATATTATGGAGATGATATGAAAAGAAGTCTTACTAACATATCAGTGGTGAAAATGCTAATACACATATCACCATAGGCACAATTTCAGAGGAGGAACAAAAAACATCACTAAAATTCAAAAGTTTTTATTGTATTTTCAAAACTCATCAGGTACCATGAGAAAAGATAATTAAATAATTAAAAAACTAGCATTTATGAGGTTTTAAAAGCAGATTCTACAACCACCATGGATTTTTAATGGTAATTCTCTAAACCTATGAATTTGGAAATATGTGATCTTGCATCTTCACCAATGATGTCATTTCACATACTTGGGCTAACAGCCCCTTGTATCATCAAACAGTACAAGCATTCTGACTGACCAGGTTGAGTATCAACCATAAGAAAGGCTGATGGGGGCTGAAAATTGTGGCTAGGGTTATCTCCAGTAGCATTACTCATAGATTAAGTGATTCACAAATGATTGTCCTAAAAAGCCTATGATTGTCCTAAAAAGGTGGAACATGGGTTCCTAATAGGCCAATATAAAAAGCCTTTGATAATGGTTCTTCACCTCTACCTACTTGTTGTAATTGGCATCAGCACTGGCTGATAAGTTCATGGTCCTAATAGGCCATTAGCCTATCAACCGATTGAGGCCATCAGTAAAGCCCCAATAAATGTTATAAGTGAAACAGATTTATTGGCAACATACCGGCACAATAAAAATGCATGGAATGTCCCCAAATATGTAAGTCTATGGTGATTTTGGTCTCCCTTAGGCAAGGTCTACTTCATGCAATTGGCATGCAAGGGGAGAGAGAATGAAGGTGTCATTTTGATGCCTATGAAGATGGAACCCTAACAACTAAGATTCATAATCCAAAACAGACTCATGTAGCCTAATCATAGGTTTACAAAACTCTCCATAACCTCTCCATAGAGTTGGTTTCTAGGTCTCATGATTGGTCACAAGTGATTTAGACTGAAGAATGATCTTTTAAACCTTCCACAGACAAAATATATTTCTGCCTCAATTCTACAAGATTTTGTCAAAATTTGGAGTCTACTGTTTAACACATTTGCCACTAACGCTTTAACTAACATACGCTATGCATAAATGTCGCATTTTTTGTACACACTTCTTTTACTTTTAACAATTATTTGAGTGTAATTTTTTATAGGCCTATTTTTCTAAGGTGAGTTTAATATAGGGAAGTCATTCTGAAGCCATTTGCATGCTAAAAAAAAATAACACTGAACAAATTGTAATATGTAAAATTATTCACATGTAACTTTCTTATTCACTGATCTAATAAAAGTACAAGCCATCTGTCAGTTAAGTCACTGCTGGGTCTATCATCATCTGAGGAATCAAACAATTTATCATCTGACATAATGTTCATTCTTTCCAAGGCTTCTGTAACTGACAGTCTTTTTCTAAACATTTTGCCTGCAACAAAACGATATAGCAGATATATATAATTTATTTCATAATTTATATATATATATATATATATATATATATATATATATATACCTTCGCCCTGAGTCATTCAATAGCTATAGTCATCCTATTACATTATTGTTACGCTGTAATAAACATTATAACAGCATTGAATATACAATCATAGATCATATAAACTCATTAGACTGGGGTACTGTTATAGCAGTACACAGCACTACAGAAAGAAACTGGGATACTGCTAAAGCAGTATACAGCAGTCATTAATGTAAGCATCACTGGCTGAAAATACTCCAGCTGATTGAAAAAACAGGCTTGGACTACTTTGAACATTTTTGTGCACACCATACATTATATTGTATGCTTGTCACATATTTGAATTGTCCATTTTACAATAATAATAGAGTATACGTTGAGGGTTGGAGGGAACTTTTCCATGCTAAATTACTCTTTTTCTTTTTCTTAATCCTCTATTATAATTAGTTTAGCCTATAAATTTCTTTCCTCCTTGCCTATGTTCAGGACTTCTATATAGTTTTGTTGATTCAAATATAAAGTTATGAGCAATTTTGGCCTAATTTCCCCTCTTCCACTTACAAGTTCACTCAGCCATTCTATAACAAACAGAAGTTGAAGAATGGTCACCCAGAATAAAGATTAGTTTACTCCTCACTTTGCAGAACAGTTCCATCCAAAAAAGTCAGATCTGAAGGATGAGGTGTAAGTGCAAAGATCCATGATGAAATCCAGAATTTTAGCACTGCACTGGAATATCTTGAAATCAGTAATTCATTTTAGGCTTTAAAGTCACCGTCAGAGAAATTACAGGTACCTTTCCTGACATTTTCAGAATATTACAATTTCCTAGACCTGAGTAAACTAGATGTAATTCCCACATCACAGTTCGCCCTTACACGTACCTCAGTGCGACCGAGGCCAAGAGATACCCATGATAAAGCGCCTTCTGCTTTATATGGCCAACGACAGTATTTGCAATAGCCGACAATTGGTAGAGCTGGCCCAGAATCGTCACATTCAGGACATTAATACAATTGTATCTTATTATCCCATTCGTTGACAAAATGGTATTTCTCATTTTGAACTATGCAATTTTCACGTGACTCGGACACTCATGCATGGGACGTTCCTCATGCATAAGTGACTAAGTGAAGTGAAAAAATGCCTGACTCGAAAGAAAAACAGTAGTACATGTAACTTGAGGCCGGGCTGGCGGGCGGGCCCACCCGACGTGAGGTCAACCATGCAGGCATCCATTCAATCTAGTGATGCTTCCAAACTCCTTCCCAATCCGCCTGAACTTTCAAAATCTCAGTATTTTCTATTGAAAGTAAAAAATATATATAAGTGAAGAACGCAATGTCAGATATGAACACGTTATTTTGTAGACAAATCACTGGAGATCAGTTGAGGATTTGTTATCTCTTGACCTTTTCAGGGAATCTGGAGCTTCGCACATTATGAGCTTCATAGTTGTGCATCCATGGATTCACCTTATGGCGCCACTGAACCGGGCTCGTGACGACTGTGCCATCCTTCAATCAGAGATTGTTCCTGCATTCCCTTGTGGAAGCCCTGATATCCCTAGAATTAGGTCTATGTATGAAAGAGTCAGGAGGAGTTTTTAAATGTCCAGTTACTTTTGCTTTAATGCTTGCTTATTTCGACAACTTATTGTATAAGTGTGACGGAAACCATGTCCGCATTGGCTCGCGACTTCCCCTCAGGCTGAACACTGCACCTTCAGAATATGGTTTAAAACGGAAATTTGAGAAAGCCAGTAATATATGCTTAAATGGAAGTGAATTATTCCTCCTCTTTTTCGCAAATAGCCTTAACATGCTAGGGTAGGCCCAATCGCTTCGTTGATAATGGCTATTAAGCTGCCCAAGGTCTGGCTTCCATTATCACTGCCTGCCTCCTTTCCCTTTATTTGTTTCATTTTCACTCTTCGGGCTTTGTGGGTTTCCAACATCACTCTGATATTAATATCACTCCTCAAACTTTTGATTCTGGGATTTCTTAGAGTGCCCATTTATTGCCATTGCCTAATGAAAGTAAAGTCATACATGGCAGCATAGGTACAGCGTTTGGATGTTGGCACAGGTACATGAAGGAAGCACATGCACATGTCCATGCTCAGGTCAGGTAGACCCACTACACTTTGTTTTGGGTACCTGGGCCCATTTTCACCCTCAGGTCAAGATTGTCTGCTATTTGTCTAATATCAGGGAAAGAAATTATATTGGTCTCATCACATTTATTGTACTATGAGTACAATAACATGTACAATATGAGTACAATGACAGAGTATTGCTTCAAAGAATGTGAACAATTTGATAATCAAATATTGTATATCCTTTGTCCCAGAACAGTGGCCTCTGTTCAGGCACACAAATTTTTCATGTACAACTGATGCTGCCAGAAGACTTTCAGGAAGTTTTTCCATTAACAGTCTCCAGTTTGAGTGATGTTGAGCAAATTAACCAAATTTGCTGCCCATTTAGAGAGCTAGCCTACTATTGGAACAATAGATGGCCATGTTGGCTAGGTGGAGGAGTTTTCACTTACTTCACGTGTCCTATGTAAAAGAGTCTGATATGTTCCATTTCTTTGTTGAACAATAACATGTTAGGTTTTTGCATATAGGTCATGTAGGACCTATCCATGAGCCCTTCACATATATAAAACTTTGACCATATGCCTTTTGAAATATATGAAGTTTACTAGCTGGAGTGTACAAAAATCATTTTGTTGATTCTGTGGTTTTTCCATGGTTTCTCATAGCCTGCAGGTAAAATTCTATGCTTGCCAGAATGGAAGGCCGAAGTGATCTTTTGGACCAAGAGCAGTCTCATTCTCAACGTGAAAGAATCCCACCAAGTCCCCTGTGTGATACAGGCCTCACAAGAGGCTCCATCTTTGTAAAATTGGCTCAAAATCGGAAGAGGCAATCACTGCAATCTGCAGAGGGTGCCAGCAAATCAAAGCAAGTAAAAACTGCTGCCTTTGCAAATGGAGTAGAGGAGGACATCAACGAAGCAATGGAATTCATGAAGCAGGATTGGCCTTCTCCTGGATCAGACGGAAATAGATCTATGCTGGAAAAAGGAGAAGTGGAGAGTGATGGCTTTGGTAGTCCTTTTTCTGTGACATCTGTTGATGAGGAAAACAGGTAGGGAAAAAAGCTTATCAAGACTCTTCCTTTCGTACCAGTATACAATGAGTAATACCCCATTTTATTCACAGACCACAGCAAGTTTCGCCAACAAACAGCATTCTCAAAAAATTCAACACATCAAACCAACCTAGCCCATCTGAAAGAGTTAGTGCCAAGATTATTCATTTTACCCAACACATCAAAATTAATCTTTCAAATCTCTTCAAAGAGCCATCAAATAATGTTCTTATCTTCATTGCTGGTTCAGAGACTTCGAGTCCGTTTTCCTGACCCTCCTGTGTCGGGTATGTTGGAAATCCCAAATCGGGAAGAAAAGAAAAGGCTAGTGGGAAGAACACGAGGTAGAGGAAGACGGGAGACTGTACCATCCCAGGGCCCCACTCGCTTCAGCAGAAGAAGACTTGCTATGGCTGTTGGCCCTGTTGTAGTACTACCAAGTGAGTGAAGAGTACTTTGTGTAGGAGTGATTGCCAGATGGATCAGTTTTGACCTGATCAGTTGACTTGCTTCACCTCTATATTGTGATTCTTCTAGTCTATTTTACTTAGTAGGTACATTTTCTTTGTCCTCCTCTGATTTGATCATCATGGCATCACCATCTGTTGGACAACAGGGAGTAAGTAATTAGGGGTTTAATTCATCTTTTGATATTCTAAACTTAGGAGTCAACAAGCTTTTCTTTGAACAAAAGTAATGGCACGATGATCATGAATTCTTAACTCAACTTTGCAGTTGAAAGATATCAAAAGATAACCATAACTTATAACACCTCATTCCTCAGAAATGACTTTTTTCATACTTCTGTCTCTTTTCAAGGAAGAGCAGCAGGTTCTATTACCGATAACAACCTGTCTCTTAGGAAACTCTAAATTATTTATCCCACATGACACCTTGATCCTAGAGGAAATCAAAATCAAAACCTAATAGATGCATTCTCAACATATTGCCCTTCAAGTTGTTTTACTTGCTAATGGAAATTTTCTTTCTATCTTGTCTGGTTTTCTAATGCAGACTCAATCACCTGTTGGAGGACCCTTTCCATCTGTACTAAGATGTAAGTCTGCAAAGCCTATCTAGGACTTAAATGAAACATTTTTTAAATCTGTAGTTTGGAAACTTGGTCGACATATCGAGCTTACCATTGCTGNGTTATGCTCCTTAACGTGAGATTTTTTGGGGGGGGGGGGGCGATTCCTGATAACTCGAACTTCGGATAACTCGAAACGATTTGCCCGGTCCCTAAAAGTTCGAGTTAACGAGTTTCCACTGTACTTGAATATTGTCTTCATTTCTTGTATTATCTTTTCAATAAAGTCAGATTCATGAGAAACCTGATCCGAGTAAGTTCACATGATCGATTGGCAATCCATCGTATTAACTTTGACCTTAAACCATGTTCACATTTCCAAGGAATTTAACTTTTCCGTGTTTCATGCACATGAGTTTTTCCATCCATTTGCAGAATTGGAATTGTCTGCAGTGGATGTCACAACAGACACATGGAGTGCTGTTTGTCCAGGGCTTATGGGCTGTGACAAGGCTATTGGTAACATTTTGCCCTTATTCAGGCTCTTGTAAGTCCTCATTTCAAATTCTCTTGGTCAACTTGGCAAAGGGTTGTCATGTGATGTAACTGCTTTTTTTGGTATTGTTTTAGGCCAAAATCTTTACTGAATGTGTTGAAAGAGAAGCAGGTCCAGACAGTTGGAGACCTTGCAGCTTTCTCACCAGATGATGTTGAAAGTCTTCCACTTCCAGACCCCAAACTTGATGTCCTCAGAGGAATACTTCTTGCTTACTGTGAGCAAGAAAACATTGATCCTCTCAGTGGTGGATCTCGCTCCTTAAATGGTGAGGTATTTTCTTGCCTGCATTCAGAGTGTGTAGAATTCATTGGCTTGCTTGATTCACCCTGGAGTTCCTGAGGAGGCTGTCTTGAATTACCATACTGTGCTCATGTGCATGCTTCTATCTTTAGACTTCATTTTGTGAAAATGCTGTTATCAAGGGAATATTAAGCAATATCAAATAATTCCATAAAAAGTACATCAGTGAACTAACACAGGTCTTGAATTGGAAATTTGGGGTAGTCAGCATAAAGTAGTTTGAATCAAGGCCCTAAGAATTGTCATTATTAGAAAAAAAATAAATTATGGAAGGGTCTAATCAGGTGTTCCAAGAATGTGAGTTGCATTGGTGACATATTTGGATATGGTATCAAATAGCTCTCATACTGACTGATTATATTTCAAAGTCCATGTGAGGAGGCTTGATCAGATAGTTTCCTCCTTTTTTATTTGAAAGGAGGTTTTCCGGTTTTTTTAGCATAGCAGCAATGGTAAGCTCGATATGTCGACCAAGTTTCCAAACTACAGATTTAAAAAATGTTTCATTTAAGTCCTAGATAGGCTTTGCAGACTTACATCTTAGTACAGATGGAAAGGGTCCTCCAACAGGTGATTGAGTCTGCATTAGAAAACCAGACAAGATAGAAAGAAAATTACTATTAGCAAGTAAAACAACTTGAAGGGCAATATGTTGAGAATGGATCTATTAGGTTTTGATTTTGATTTCCTCTAGGATCAAGGTGTCATGTGGGATAAATAATTTAGAGTTTCCTAAGAGACAGGTTGTTATCGGTAATAGAACCTGCTGCTCTTCCTTGAAAAGAGACAGAAGTATGAAAAAAGTCATTTCTGAGGAATGAGGTGTTATAAGTTATGGTTATCTTTTGATATCTTTCAACTGCAAAGTTGAGTTAAGAATTCATGATCATCGTGCCATTACTTTTGTTCAAAGAAAAGCTTGTTGACTCCTAAGTTTAGAATATCAAAAGATGAATTAAACCCCTAATTACTTACTCCCTGTTGTCCAACAGATGGTGATGCCATGATGATCAAATCAGAGGAGGACAAAGAAAATGTACCTACTGGAGAACTAGGAGAGGAAAGTATTTCAGCTGGAGAGGTGGAAGAAGAAGAGAGTGCACCCATCAAAGAAATATGCAGAGAACAAGAGAATTTACCTATCAAAGAGATGGGAGGGGAAGAGGAGAATTTATTAACCCAAGTGATAGAAGTAGAAGAGGAGAAGTCATCTACCGCTGAGATAGGAAGTGATCAGGAGAATGTGCTAACCAAGGAGCTAGAGGTTCAGCGGGAAACTTTACCCTTCAAAGAGATGGAAAGAGAACAGGTGATTGTACTTGCTGAGGAGAAGGAAGGGGAGCAGGAACATAAAAATGATATTGGAAATTCTGAGGTTTTTCAGCCAGATGAGTTGGGACAAGTGGAGAGGGGTATAGGGAGCCCCTTGAAGAACATAGAGGAAATTCAACCAGATGAGCCCAATTCTGAAGAAATGAGAGATGAGCAGGAGACAATGATGGCTTGCTTGCATTCCAAAGAAACTGATTTCAATTTACATACTGCTAAGACAGATGAAGTTGAACTGCATAATGAGGATCATGTCAAGAATGCAAAGGACACTCAACCCCCTGTTGAAGTATTATCACCTGTGAGGAATGAGAACTGTTTGGAGGGTGCCGTATCTGATAATGAGAACAGCCTTTCAGAGTCCCCTGATCCGACTAATGTGATTTGTGATACATTTGCAGACAAAGAAGTCAATTCATCTGAAAAGCAACATGGCCTGGAAGATAGATCAGTTGAGGGAAGTCCAAGTTTGTCTGTGATGGAAAATATGGAGTTGGATGAATCAGCCCATGTCACTGATGTTTTGTTCACTAATTCTGGTATATCTCATGAAGACAATGCACAAACCAATGAAACTCTAGATTTTGACACCTGTAAGGTCAAAGCCACCATTGCAGCTGAAGAGGAAAAACCTCCTATTCCGTGTTCCTCTTCCAAAGTGGAAACTATGCCAACATCACCAATGGAACAAGTTGGTCTTCTCAGTACCATACCCACCTTGAAGGTGTCTCTCAGAGGTGAAGTCCCTCTTGAACTGCCATCATTAAATGAGATGGCTGGAAATCTCATGGTACAACTCACAGAATCAACCCCAGTTGGAAACACACTTTTGGTGGACCTGTTCAAGCAATTAGGTGGGATATTGAGCCACCAGATGGGTGAAAGATCAACACTCTCTCTCCTGATTGACAGTATCCTGGATCGTCGAGGCATCCAAACACAAGAATTAGCCAAAGACATGGTAGATCTCAGGAGTTTCTTCTTGTCCTTTTTGAACCGCATGACAGAAAAAGATTTGTGGGAACTTGCCCTCAAACTCCCCTTGGGAATGGTGAGACAGCTCCTGGCTGAGAAAGTCCCATCAGAAGATGTGGAAATTCAGACAGATTTCACCCCATTAACTCGTCCAGAGGTTGTTGACACTGTGAAAAGTTTCGTGCTGGCCAATGAACAAGAACCATTGAATCTCCTCCATGAAATTCTTGATGTTTGCATGAGTTTAAAGTGATTGCCATCTCACCTCAGGTTATGTTTGCAAATGCTACAGGATGTTCACTGCATGTTGGTTGTAGGATGACATGGAATATGGACTCATTACCAGTTTTTGAGAGAATATTACAGGCTATTTTAATTTGGAATACCCTTTCTATGAGGCAGAATATTTTGTAATAAATGAAAAGCAGTGAAATGTAATGCAGTCTTGAGTTCATTCGTCATGTCAAATCTTATGGATTCCACTTAAAAGAGCATGTAATCCTCCCTTTGTTGGGCCCAAGCATGTATCAGTCAAGTAATGATGGTTTTTGTAGTGTTTTTGAGTTGAAAGATGTCTTTGACATTTTTCATGAGTGTAATAAACCAAAATACAGATCAGTCTGTAAGACATGATGAGTTGACTGCTAAATGTCTTCATGAAAGGGTACTGGAAGTCTTAAAACCATTCTTTGTGTTCTATTGCAACTCATTATTTTGATTCTCAGGAGTTTGGCTTTGCATATGCTATTGTGTTTTTGATCCTTTTCTGCTGTTTTAAGGCAGGCACTTCCCTTTTTGTAATAAGCTAATTTTCAAGGTGAGGGAAGTGTCTTGGTGCCATGACATTGCAAACCCAAGGCTTGATATGTTACCTTGTAATCATGATAATTCACGTCTTTGTCACCTTTCCTATTCATGTTCTCATAAATGTCACTTGCTGCCTTGATCTTCTGGTTGAGCTTCATTTCTTCTGGGTTATGATAGGTTTGCCTATTGCTCAGGCACTACAAATTTTCTGAATTTTGCTAAGGAAATTTGATCAGGTTTTAGCTGCATGTGACTTGGACTATGGAGAAGTCATGAACTTCAAGATTCCCAATCATATATGATTTGGATGTCAGTGGATAGGGAGGATGATGCATGATTTGGGGTCTGTTAATGGGAAGGATGATTTTTAAGGTTGAAAATCTTCAGTTGTCTGCTGTCTTCGCTGAAGTCAGTTTTGCTTGTTTATATTATACAGTCTTTCCCTCAACCCTCACCTTTTCACCCTCACCAACCTTTTCCCTCAATTGTCTTGATTTTCTGCATCTGCTCCTTAGGCTTCCATTGTTGATGACCTAGGTGAAAAGAGGTTTTTATCACTCTCTACTGCTCCATCTGATAGTAATTGAAATGACTCCAACTTGGTCATATCCCTTACTCAAGAGGAATTTAATGTAGGCAGAGGATCTGCTTCTGCTAGGTCAGATTTTGTCGAGGGTTCAGGAAGGAAAATTGAAATTACCTCAGTTGCCCCACACCCATTATAGTAAGCTTGTTCAAAAAGAGAATTTATATTTATGAAAAATACTTGAATTAAATTTAGCTGTTGTCTGGATGTATTTGGTGGGAAAGGGGTGATGTTTCATGCCACTAGACACTGCTGATGGCCCTGGACGACTCTTGCTTCCCCATCCCCCAGAATTTTCAGTGATCTCAAAAAGTAAAACGGAGAGGGTGGATCGCTTTTTTTTTTCCCGCGGACCTGAAACGTCATCATTTTTGTTTCGCTGAAGCAAAAGAAGGCGCTACGAGTAAAGACCTATATCACCTGCGCAGTTCTTTGTTTTTTGAGTTTTCAACCTCCTAAGTTTCGAGAGTAATGTTTATAAATGGGGACCCATTGATCAGTGTCCGAAGTACAGGGGTTAGTTATTAAGTTTCTTCCCATGTTCGGACAGTTATAATATGCCAACTATGCATCGTAAAGCTGTAATATTGGAGTAAACACTAATGGGACCATGGGGAAGAGGAGTATTGGGTCATCGGATATGGCCACCAGCATTTGCTCAATAAGACCTCCCTTCATATATACGATTGCTTGCATTCGGATTATGCAGAGATAGACGGCTGACCGAAGCTGTCCAACATCTATCATGGCCACATGATGGCGAATAGCATGTTTGAGGTTCATTAAGGTGGCAGGTGCCGCACGATACGCAACAGACTTGAAATATCCTCAAAGCCAAAAATCTGCTGGGGTGAGGTCGGACGAACGTGTTCAATTGTGCCCTAAATGGAGTGACCCATCGTTCCCCAACGCAAGTCGTTACAATTAAATCAGGATTACAACCAAATTATGAATATGTTGCGATTATAGCTCATACGCGCTGGCATTGAACTACCGATCTCTTGAATCCGATCAATGAATCAAGAATTCTCATCCAAAGAAACAAACTGCAGGAGTTGAGGTATCACTCATAAAAAAACACGCAAAAAAGCGTCGCCTACAGAACAACATGCGCACTTTGGGTGGAAACTACTATCTTTTTTACAGCTACACTCTCCTGACATCTCAGCCGGAAGATATACAGGTTGTCCCAAAAGTCCTAATCTATTTTTGTGATAAAATATTTTTTTACATGTCATTTGTTTAGGTTAACGTGAGGAATCTCAATAGTGCGAAACCAGTATCAGTTTTGCAAAGTGGCAATATCAATTTGTCAACAAATTTAATGAGAACAGGGAACTCGGTAGGCGAGTCAGAGCGGACGACTAAGACCGTCGACAGACACCGTTCATGACGTATAGGATGCAGTTAAGAGAATCTCGTCTGACATTCGTCAGTGGAACTGTCCTTGGAACTAGCTTTGTGAACACGATTGAGGATGCGGTGAACAGTGGTTTTTGGCACAGCTAGTTCCACTGACGCACGTTGGGCAGATTTTCTCGGACTGCTCTCAAAAGCATTCCTTACGGCATGAACGGTGTCTGCCGACGTTCTTTGTCGTCCGCTCCGACTCTCGTCAAACGAGCTCCCTGTCCTCTTAAATTCTGTGACAAATTCTTTCATCGCTTCGTCAGCTGGACCTCCATGTCCAAACCGACGCTGGAAATGCGTATGGATCTCTTAACACGTTGACCGCCACGGAAATGCTGGCCTATTGATTTTCCCATTCAGTGAGGCGCACCGGTGTGCCTCGTGGCGGTCAACCTGTTAAGAAGTTATCCATTCCAATCTCCAAATGACTCCGTCTCCGATCCATTTTCCCTATCAGCGACAATATGGTCACTTCTGTAAAATTGATACTGGCTACTCACTGTTGAGGTCCCTCGCTTTAATCTAAACGTATGACATTGAAAAAAAAATTGCTTTATCACAAAAATAGGTTGGGACTATTGCGACTCCCTGTACAGCAGACGACATGAGGAGAAACAGTGCTGGGGGAGCTCTAGACAGTCTGGGCCATAGTACCCCATGACCCATTGTGCCCCACCCTCCCCTACAGTCGACTCCGCTTATTGGAGTACTCCCGTAACCAGTTATTTAATACATTAACAAATAGTACCGTTCAGCCCTGCGATCGACAATTTTGCTGGAGAAATAAATAAATAAATAGGTTTGTTTTTCAAAACATTTAAAAATTGCTCTTCAGTTTTGAGAAAATTTCAGACCAGAGAATACACTTCAGGCACTTCAATCGTGTTTCGAATGGTGGTTTCATTGAATTGAGTAGTGCATTGCAGCTGATGAACCATACTTTGAACGACTGAGGCGTTTCATTGTCCTAGAAAAACGGCAAGCGCTTCATAAGTCTCGCCTCGCGTAAGACTTACCTTTTATTAGAGCTGTCACGATAGCAGTTTTCAAAACATCGATGCATCGGGGGGGGGGGGGGGGGG